TCAACAAACCGTTCCCTTCTCAAGGCCCTTCTGTGCCAAGCCTGTCTGCTTATCTAGGCCGGACTGGACTTTTATAAGAGTGACTGTTTTCAGCTTACATGAGTTAATCAATCGTATAATAATAATGTCTTCATTAATCTGTGCTTAAATCAATAAGGTTGATTAATCTGTGCTTGAATTACTGAAAGTTTGAAATGAAACGAATTATTACATTGAATGATTTATATATATGTAATCAGTAATGTTTGATATGACAAAGCAATCATCACCTACACTCAGACACAAGGTCCATTAAGGCTAAGTTAAGCTCATGACACATAGATATTTCTTTACCCCTAATCAGGGCCTCCGGTATCTGAAAGAAGGCGTGATGTTCTGAGGTTCTTGGTAGGTATCCCTGAACATGGCACGTTCCGATTGGACAAGAATTCATAACGTGAGAACATTAAAACAGAGCTCACGAGACGGAGACTCAGTTCTAGAGAAAGCTACGGAACGGACGTCCGGAGCGAAGCCTCTTTAACCCGGAGCTATTTTGGCAAGCTGCCAAAACCCTGCTAAAAGCTGCCTACCGCTGACACAGCAAACGGTTCCTGCAGAACAAAGCTGATATTGTTCCGACTCCCTAAGAGTCCTTCTAGGCACAAACGGTTTCATCCATCTGTTGTGACCCGGAAATATGTCTGGACTGGAGCGTTGGTGCTGCGGTTATTCTACAAACCTCGGTGCCTAGAGGTCATCCGACCTCTCGGACCTTCGGATCGACAAAGAGGGTCTTCCAAAGGGTGAGGTAGACACAGCATGATCGCGTCTGATGTGGCTTTGATAAGAATCAACTTCATAGCTTGACGCAAACCAAATTCTTCCCTTTTTACACCCAGAACTCAGTTCTTGTAATAGAATGAAATTACAGTTTTTTCCCTCCTCTGCACAGGACTAGTCTGCATGAGATATGGCCTCAAGGTCTTATGCATTCCTTCGAACCTGCTTATTTTCAGCTGAACAGAAGAATGAAGAATGAACTCTTTTCTTTTAATTAATCAAATAACTCTATTTTAATTCAACCGAGTGTTAGTCAACAAATAAAATGTGACCGATCTGTGAAATCAAAATATTAATTACTTTATTATAATCCTATTGAATATAATAAGTAATACGACTTTAAGTGTTCCAACAGGACTGATTTCACGTAGCGTTAAAAGACATGACACATTACTTTCACTGATCCAATCAGAATCTGACAGATCTGACGGAGGCATGGTTTTGATGGTGGTTGGTAATTTTTCATTCGACCATAAACCAAAACATCCGAAGTATAAAACTATGCCCACATCATCTCTAATGTCAGTTCAAATCGTTCTAGAGAAAGCTTCGGAGTGGCCAATCCGCAACTTTCCTCTTTAACCAAAAGTACAACGACAAGCTGGAAAATTCGTTTTTGTTCCAACTGCTGCAACGGTTCCTTTCAAAATAAAAGCTGAACCATCAAGACCCAGGATGGGTCTCACCAGACGCCAACAAATTGTCGTGACCCGACTGGTCTTGTCGGCAACCGCTGCTTTTCCTACCGGCTCGGCTCCAGAGAAGGTCAAGCTAGACCTCGACATTCCTGATCTAACGGGGACTTCCTGAAGGGTATGTAGACCGGCAGATGGTGTCTCATGTGTTTATGAATCTCCTAACCAAAGCTTAATGCGAAGACATCACCTTCAGTTCCCATCAGAACTAATCACAGCTTCGGATTTGCTGGTTCTGATTAACATCACACATCATCCATTCACCGTCTCATTCACTTTAGTTACACCGTACATTTATTGTTTAAAGTCAGTCTAGTTTGTTAGTAATAAAATTCTTAACTTTTAAACTTGACTCTCTCTCTTCTGTTGTCTCTGAGTGAATATGAAGCGGTTATCTAATCCCTGCAATAAAAAGATCCAATCTTCTGGTTTAAATAACCTCACAGATCCGTGAGGTGGATTTCATACTTCCTATGGAATCCTACGCCTTCTGGCTCATTAAATAACATGTAATTTAAATCATCACATTCTTCTAGATACGAAAGTTCTGATAACATCACATTCACATATAGTTAACATACATCACATTCCATCCACCACAGTAATATTAGTTAACTTGTCATGTTTTAATTGTTTGGAAAATAAATTCTTACTTTTATAAACCTGACTCTCTTCTTGAAGCAAGACGACGTGTTCTACAATCCTGAATAAACAAAGAAGTCTAAATCTTCTGGTTAAACATTTTAGACCAATCAGACTGGATTTCCATATTTGAATGGAAATTCAGTCTGATTGGTCATAAGTAGAGTAATGCATTAAGCTTTAAAAGTACCCAAATACATATAAATTACTCTCTCCTATACACTTTAGTCCTACACCTCAGACTCTAGGAAAGTCACCCTCATCATGAAGAACACCTCAGCCCCTGAATCCCTCCATCTGATAGCAGCAGAGTGATTTATTTACTGCTTTAGTCTGTTTGGAAATGATTGAATTTCGTTATTTTCTGTAAACAACCGTCTGATCTGGACGTGTGCAGAATAACCTTCCCCAGCTGCAGCAGCAGCTAGCCTATAAAAACAGCTGCAGCATGTGGAAAGTCTGTCTGTGCTGCTCTCTAATGTGATTCCTTTCATAAGGAATCATCTGCATTATTGTAGCGTTGCTATTTTATTAAATTTGTAGCCTGGCGAGGTCATCAACTGAAGGAGTCAATGTACTCTTCACCCTCCCTCCATCTCCCTCCCACCTGTGACTCAACAGTGGATGAGCGCCTCCGAAGACGGCTGCTCTCTCTGGGGGAGAACAGATTTATTTACAACATTTGAATTGATATTTCCAGAAATGGATGGTAAAAACTTCACATTGTCTCTTTAATAACATACCTGAAACACCATCATTCCCTGTGTATTTCTACAGGTGCTGGCCAGTAAATTAGAATATCATCAAAAGGTTGAAAATATTTCAGTAATTCCATTCAAAACGTGAAACTTGTACATTATATTCATGCAATGCACACAGACCAATGTATTTCCAATGTTCATTACATTTAAATTTGATATTCATAAGTGACAACTAATGAAAACTCCAAATTTGGTATCTCAAAAAATTAGAATATTCTGAAAAGGCTGAATATAGAAGACACCTGCTGCCACTCTAATCAGCTGATTTACTCAAAACACCTGCAAAGGCCTTTAAAAGGTCCCTCAGTCTTGTTTTGAAGGCACCACAATCATGGGGAAGACTTCTGACTTAACAGCTGTCCAAAAGACAATCATTGACACCTTGCACAAGGAGGGCAAGACACAAAAGGTGATTGCTAAAGAAGCTGGCTGTTCGCAGAGCTCTGTGTCCAAGCACATTAACAGACAGGCGAAGGGACGGAAACAATGTGGTAGAAAAAAGTGTACAAGCTCTAGGGATAACCGCACCCTGCAGAGAATTGTGACGACAAACCCATTCAAAAATGTGGGGGAGATCCACAAAGAGTGGACTGCAGCTGGAGTCAGCGCTTCAAGAACCACCACGAGGAGACTCATGAAAGACATGGGATTCAGGTGTCGCATTCCGTGTGTCAAGCCACTCTTGAACAAGAAACAGCGCAAGAAGCGTCTCGCCTGGGCCAAGGACAAAAAGGACTGGACTGATGCTGAGTGGTCCAAAGTTATGTTTTCTGATGAAAGCAAGTTCTGCATTTCCTTTGGAAATCAAGGACCCAGAGTCTGGAGGAAGAGCGGAGAAGCACAGAATCCACGTTGCATGAGGTCCAGTGTAAAGTTTCCACCGTCAGTGATGGTGTGGGGTGCCATGTCATCTGCCGGTGTTGGCCCACTCTGTTTCCTGAGGTCCAGGGTCAATGCAGCCGTCTACCAGGAAGTTTTAGAGCACTTCATGCTTCCTGCTGCTGACCAACTTTATGGGGATGCAGACTTCACCTTTCAACAGGACTTGGCACCTGCACACAGTGCCAAAACCACCAGCACCTGGTTCAAGGACCATGGTATCCCTGTCCTTGATTGGCCCGCAAACTCGCCTGACCTTAACCCCATAGAAAATCTATGGGGTATTGTGAAGCGGAGGATGCAATACGCTAGACCCAACAATGCAGAGGAGCTGAAGACGACTATCAGAGCAACCTGGGCTCTCATAACACCTGAGCAGTGCCACAGACTGATCGAGTCCATGCCACGCCGCATTACTGCAGTTATTGAGGCAAAAGGAGCCCCGACTAAGTATTGAGTGCTATACATGCACATTCTTTTCATGTTCATTCTTTTCAGTTGGCCAACATTAGAGAAACAAACATTTTTTCATTGGCCTTTAGAATATTCTAATTTTCTGAGATACCAGATTTGATGTTTTCATTGGTTGTCACCTATAAATATCAAATTTAAATGTAATGAACATTGGAAATACATTGGTCTGTGTGCATTGCATGAATATAATGTACAAGTTTCACGTTTTGAATGGAATTACTGAAATATTTTCAACCTTTTGATGATATTCTAATTTACTGGCCAGCACCTGTATTATTTGTAGATGATTTTCCAACAGCAACGAAACTAACAAGATGATAGTGAAGGACCTCCAGCCTCAGCCCACAGCGAAGGTTCTAGATTTTCTGCTATCTGTGAGGGCTCTCGACCCAGTACAGGAACTTCCAGGTTCCTGTACTGGGTCGAGAGTCCTGTACTCAGAGACTCACCTGTACCAAGTTATAATCCAAACATATGACTTTGTATTTCACCTTTCCCAGCAAAAAAATATTTGAGCAATTTATCGGTATTGGATCACCATCACTAACACTGAAGCTCATTTTATTTGGTATTGGATCAGAAAAGAAGTCGGTGGTATTGCACGTCACTACAAACCCACCCAAAAAACACCATCTGAAGTAACGGACAACAAAAGATGTTTGGACGTAGAAAGCTGCAACTGGTGTTTAATGCTCACTCGTTTACTGTGGCAGTGCACGATTCCCAAATCAGAGGAACCTGACCCGGGGACAGGAGGTGATAGGAGGGGTGGGAGTTCTGTGATTGTGTTTAAAAGCTAGCTTGTTTTGCTGAATAGCTACTGCAGCTTTATGATTACTGTCGTTTTAGATGAAGGCTTTGGTACCTGAGTGAAGCGCATTTTAGCCAAAGCAATCAGTTCCTGTTCTCCCGGGGCACAGATGTTCAGTCCCACAGGAAGCAGACGCTTCAGAGTGGCCACTATCAAACTAGTCTGGGAAGAGTATCGGTCGCCCTTCCTCTTCATCTTCTTCCTCTCCTGGTCTGAAACTATACCCTGGGGCCAAGGCAGAAGGAAACAAAAACACACAATCATCCTGGACTTGATTTCATCACCACAACAGTATTTGTTTTGTATTTTCTTTTTCGTACCTTTGAGATCTTGCACTTGGTGTCTGAGATGAGGAATGACATGTTGTTGATTTCATTTTGGACCACAAAATTCTGCTCCTCTCTCTTGAAGTTCTGCAGATGCGTAATAAAACAGCTCAGTGTTGGCCAGGCACAGTAGAGCAGACCAGCGTGTCACTGGGTGCGTTGGCTCCATCACGTAATTCACACTTTTGGTATCATAGAAGGAGCAGATTATAAAGTTAAAGTTAAAGTCCCATTAGTTGTCACACACACTCATGTGTGTGCGAAATTTGTTCTCCGCATTTGACCCATCCCCTGGGGGAGCGGTGAGCTGCAGACACGGCTGCGCTCGGGAACCATTTGGTGGTTTAACCCCCCAATCCAACCCCTTAATGCCGAGTGTCTAGCAGGGAGGCATTGGGTCCCATTTTTCAAAGTCTTTGGTATGACCCGACCAGGAATCGAACCCTGATCCCTGATCTCCCAGTCTCAGGGCGAACACTCTACCACTAGGCCACTGAGCTGGTCAAATTATAGGAGGAAAAAAGGAGGAACATGCGCTTGTGCCGAGTTAACAAGAATGTTTCCTTCGTGTCTGAGTCCAGCGGATCCCATTATAATGGGTCAGTGTGACATCAGAGCTCCATTTGTGTCCTTTTAGGTCTAAGAGGTTGTAAAATGAGTTTGAACGAGCACTAATAAGGTCAATCCTGCATGGATTACTCCTGACACAAACATCTTTCATATCTATGAAGAAGGTTTCCTTCTGTGATTAGCACTTTGAATTCTCCTCAGGTGGGTTCTTACATGAGACTTGGCCCAGAAGATGAAGACCTCAGCGACCATCCTGAACAGCTCTTCTGCCTCTGGGTTGGACTCTTTCAGCCATCGGGCTCTGTAAAAGATCCAGATTTTCTGTGTTGTTGGTGACATTTACAGTGACGTAGGAGGGCATTTGTTTCTGTCACTGGTGTTGACCAACAGAAGGGTACCTGTTGTGGTCCACAAATCGTATAAGGAGAGGGTAGAAGGCGTACAGGTCTCTGACCAGGATGGTGAACTGGTCCATGATGAGGAGCTCCGTCTCGGACATCTCACCTCTTCCTTCAGCCTTGCTGTGTTCCTCATCCATCAGAACCACTGCTGCCTTCTACCAAACACAGGAACACGGTTCTCCAGCTAAATGCTGTCATGCCATAAGGCGGTTTTCAAAAACAGACCCAAAACGGCACTTTTGACAGCCTACACTGATCAGAAGATTATTTTTAAATGCCCTTATATGTTAAAATTAACATTAACAAAAATGGGTGCATAAGAATTTTACCCAGACAGTGAATCAAAGCGTACTCCAAGCAAAAACATCTGCCCATACCGTAGGACACCAATGATAAAATAAGCATAAAGACTACCGCGGTCCCTCGCTATCACGTGGTTCTCCTTCTGCGGCCTCTCACTTTCAGTGCATTGCGGTCCGTGTCCAAAGGTACAAGCGTTTGAAGTCAAGAGTGTTTAAACAAGAAACAAAAGTGTGAAAATCTTAATCTTTTCCGGAACTGCGCTGCTCTGGGTGGCTGCATGTTGGAGTAGCTCTGTTGACTAGATGTAAGTTTTGCCTTTTCTTGGACATTTTTCTTCTAGTTTCTCAAGAAAAACTGTATTTTTCTGGACACTTTACTTTTCTGTTTCTGGTGCTGTGAAGCTTGGAGGATTTTTCTGCTATTTTTTAGCTTTTTTCACTTTTGGAGCATTTGTTATGATGCGTAACCATGGCAACAAGCTGGTTTACAATCGGGGGCAGCTGATTAATATTGGAAAGGATGAAATAATACCTCAACTGAAGCCACAAATCCCAAATGAGCTAAAACGCAAGAAGCGTGGGTGCAGAGCGGGAGCAAAACGGAGACAGAAAGAGGAAATTCAAACCATCTCTTCCATCGATCATAACAGGCAATGTGAGATCACTGGCCAACAAGATGGAGGAACTCCAAGCCCTTTCAAGGACTCAGCCAGAGTTTCGGCAGTTTCGGAACCGCTGGAGGAGATAATGCAAAGAAGGATTCTCCAGAGAATCAAGAAAATGATGGACAACCCTGAGCGTTCTCTTCACAAGACTGTCCGACAACGGAAGAGTGTCTTCAGTCAGAGGCTTCTTCAGTTTGGCTGCAACACTGACCGCTACTGGAGATCCTTCCTGCCAACAGCCATTGTAATATACAACAACTCTTTGATGACTTGATTATTGTTATTATTCTGAGCTACTACAGCAATCACTTTCCCTCTGGGATTAATAAAGTATGTTTGAATTGAACTGAATTGAATGAATGTCTTTCTGAGAAGAGTGTATAAAGTGTGTAGTGAGGGGTTTTACAGCCTTGAACATTGTGGGGGTGCGCTGGGACGACCACGTCTGTGAAGAGCGCTGTGCCACGGCTAGAGCGCTCCTCCTGCATGAAGACGCAGAAACGCTTCAGCAACTTCATGCAGCAGGAGGACATGCACGTCTCTACAGAGTGATACTGAGAGGCTTGCAGCTAGAGATGGAAACGCTGGAGGGAGTGTGTGCAAATATAATGCAGGTATGCTGGAAATAAATCTGGTGTGTTTTTGTGTGTGTGAGCCCAAACATTTATAATAAATGTAAAATGTGAAGCTGACTACTTCGCAGATGTACTGCACAAATATCTGGTCCTCCTTAGTGGCAGCATTCATAGCACCTGTTTCTAGGGTTAAACGTGATGTCACACTGTTCACCACATAGCTCAGACCCTGATCAGCTGCTGCAGGCCAGCACTGCAGCGAGACAACAGGACGAGCTCATCCATATACGTTAACAGATTTACAAGGAGGTCGCCCACCAGGCATCAAGTCTCGCACTCATTCAGTGCATCAAACGAATCATCATGATGCGTGTTTAAAAGGACGTCAGACAGGATCCCACCGCGTCTGACTCCTTTAGTCACAATGAAAGCTTCAGAAAGTTCCATTCCACACTTAACCTGCATCAACTGGTGAGACTACCCAAAATGCTAAACCCTGTTCATACAGTACATGCAGGCACCCCTCTGCTTTGTACTTTTGCATACGGTTTATGGTCATTAACTCTGTCAAAGGCTTTGGCGGCATCTAAAAACACATAAAACACACGTATTCCATCTCATCTACTTATTTACACTTTCCTTTAGAGCATATATACAACAATCAGAACTAACAGATTACCCGTTGCTGCGTTAAATTCTTGAAGTCTTTTTTTCTTGTTGTTTTACTTCCTTGTTATTTTTAACCCTCCCGCTGTCTTTATGGGTGACCCCGTGAGGAAAGTGTACCATCGAGCAGGGTTGATGGTTTATCCCTTGAGGTCCTCGTGGCAGGGGTGAGGTGGTGCTCACTCCTCACCCCTGCCACGTGGACCCAAGGGATAAACCATCAACCCTGCTCGATGGTCACCTTTCCTCGTGGGGTCACACCCATTAGGACAGTGGGAGGGTTAATTGTTTATTATGACCTATGTGGCTGATCCTGCCTGTGTGGCTTTATTAATGATTAGTGCTCTGGTCAGTTGTAATGCTGTGTAGAAGGTGCAGAATATGCTGATACACTTAAGACAACATACTTGTCAACAAGAAAAGCACAGCTGTTGACAGGGCGGAGGGGCAGAGGAGCTTGAAAAACCACTTGCATTGATTAAGTTGCATGTATGGGAGCGTTTTGTCTTCCCTGTAAAACACAATGATGAGCAGTGTCGCTCACACACACCACGCAAATGCCTGGGGCAATTATTACATTAGCACGGGGTGATCTGTAGACGTTGTTGGGGACAAATCTGTAAAAGAGGAATAAAAAATAACATCGCTTCAGGAAGAGGAGGAAATGAGGACATGCAGCACGCGAGCGTGTCTACATAGGGCAAGCAGTTTCTAAATTTAATCAGCGATCAACCTCTCTGTAATTCCTACTTTTAGAGCAAGTTGCACATTGAGTAGAAACATTTTGCACTAAATGTTCTACAAACTAAAGTGAGAGCAAAGTTATTTGTGCTTTTTCTTTTTGCTGACTCGTGACTGAAAACCGCAATCAGATCAGAGTGGTGAGTTTTTGGATCCCTTGCACCACTATTAGTTAGTTAGTTAGTCAGTTAGCCAGTTAGTTAGTCAGTCAGTCAGTGAGTCACTTAGTTAGTTAGTTAGTTAGTCAGTTAGCCAGTTAGTTAGTTGGTTAGTTAGTTAGTTAGTCAGTCAGTTAGTTAGTTAGTTGGTCAGTCAGTCAGTGAGTCAGTTAGTTAGTTAGTTAGTTAGTTAGTTAGTTAGTTAGTTAGTTAGTTAGTTAGTTAGTTAGTCAGTTAGCCAGTTAGTTAGTCAGTCAGTTAGCCAGTCAGTCAGTCAGTTAGCCAGTTAGTTAGTTAGTCAGTCAGTCAGTCAGCTAGTTAGTTAGTTAGTCAGTTAGCCAGTTAGTCAGTCAGTCAGTCAGCTAGTTAGTTAGTTAGTTAGTCAGTCAGTTAGCCAGTTAGTTAGTCAGTTAGCCAGTTAGTTAGTTAGTTAGTTAGTTAGTTAGTTAGTTAGTTAGTCTGTTAGCCAGTTAGTCAGTCAGTTAGTTAGTTAGTTAGTTGGTCAGTCAGACAGTTAGCCAGTTAGTTAGCTAGTTAGTTAGTCAGTTAGCCAGTTAGTTAGTCAGTCAGTCAGTTAGTTAGTCAGTTAGTTAGTCAGTCAGTCAGTCAGTTAGCCAGTTAGTTAGTCAGTCAGTCAGTCAGCTAGTTAGTTAGTTAGTCAGTTAGCCAGTTAGTCAGTCAGTCAGTCAGTCAGCTAGTTAGTTAGTTAGTTAGTTAGTCAGTTAGCCAGTTAGTTAGTCTGTTAGCCAGTTAGTCAGTCAGTTAGTTAGTCAGTCAGTCAGCTAGTTAGTTAGTTAAATAGTTAGTTAGTTAGTCAGTTAGCCAGTTAGTTAGTCAGTTAGCCAGTTAGTCAGTCAGTCAGTTAGTTAGTCAGTTAGCCAGTTAGTTAGTTAGTCAGTTAGCCAGTTAGTTAGTCAGTTAGCCAGTTAGTCAGTCAGTCAGTTAGTTAGTCAGTTAGCCAGTTAGTTAGTTAGTTAGTCAGTCAGTTAGCCAGTTAGTCAGTCAGCTAGTTAGTTAGTTAGTTAGTCAGTTAGCCAGTTAGTTAGTCAGTTAGCAAGTTAGTTAGTTAGTTAGTCTGTTAGCCAGTTAGTCAGTCAGTCAGTCAGCTAGTTAGTTAGTTAGTCAGTTAGCCAGTTAGTCAGTCAGTCAGCTAGTTAGTTAGTTAGTTAGTCAGTCAGTTAGTTAGCCAGTTAGTTAGTCAGTTAGCCAGTTAGTCAGCTAGTTAGTTAGTCTGTTAGCCAGTTAGTCAGTCAGTCAGTCAGCTAGTTAGTTAGTTAGTCAGTCAGTTAGCCAGTTAGTTAGTCAGTTAGCTAGTTAGTTAGTCAGTTGGTCAGTCAGTCAGTTAGCCAGTTAGTTAGCTAGTTAGTTAGTCAGTTAGCCAGTTAGTTAGTCAGTCAGTCAGTTAGTTAGTCAGTTAGTTAGTCAGTCAGTCAGTCAGTTAGCCAGTTAGTTAGTCAGTCAGTCAGCTAGTTAGTTAGTTAGTTAGTCAGTTAGCCAGTTAGTCAGTCAGTCAGTCAGCTAGTTAGTTAGTTAGTTAGTTAGTCAGTTAGCCAGTTAGTTAGTTAGTCAGTCAGTTAGTTAGTCAGTTAGTTAGTCAGTCAGTCAGTCAGTTAGCCAGTTAGTTAGTCAGTCAGTCAGCTAGTTAGTTAGTTAGTCAGTTAGCCAGTTAGTCAGTCAGTCAGTCAGTCAGTCAGCTAGTTAGTTAGTTAGTTAGTTAGTCAGTCAGTTAGTTAGTCAGTTAGCCAGTTAGTTAGTTAGTTAGTCTGTTAGCCAGTTAGTCAGTCAGTTAGTTAGTCAGTCAGTCAGTCAGCTAGTTAGTTAGTTAGTTAGTCAGTTAGCCAGTTAGTTAGTCAGTTAGCCAGTTAGTCAGTCAGTCAGTTAGTTAGTCAGTTAGCCAGTTAGTTAGTTAGTCAGTTAGCCAGTTAGTTAGTCAGTTAGCCAGTTAGTCAGTCAGTCAGTTAGTTAGTCAGTTAGCCAGTTAGTTAGTCAGTTAACCAGTTAGTTAGTTAGTTAGTCTGTTAGCCAGTTAGTCAGTCAGTCAGTCAGCTAGTTAATTAGTTAGTCAGTTAGCCAGTTAGTCAGTCAGTCAGTTAGTTAGTCAGTTAGTTAGTCAGTTAGCCAGTTAGTTAGTCAGTCAGTCAGCTAGTTAGTTAGTTAGTCTGTTAGCCAGTTAGTCAGTCAGTGAGTCAGTCAGTCAGTCAGTTAGTTAACCAGTTAGTTAGTTAGTCAGTCAGTCAGTCAGTCAGTCAGTCAGTTAACCAGTTAGTTAGTCTGTCTCCCACTGTATCAAGGACAGGGCTGATTTCTCAGCTGTAGACGAGCTGCTTTCCCAAAAGACTCCACCATAAACGACAGCTTTTTAAAAACCTAATTAAGAGGACACAGTTCATTTGTGTTGAGGGAATTCAGGAGTGGGACTTAGTGACAATTCAAATTTAAAAACATATTAATTAAAACAAATTAAGTAAGAAGAAGGAAACTGAAACAATCGGGGCTGTTTCTGGGAATTGTTTTCTCATCTGATCTTTCTAACACGGAGATGATCAGAAGTGTGTTCAAATGACAAAACTCACCTTTTTCAGTTTGTCCATTAGAGGCAGGAAGTGGGTCTTGAGCAGCTGGGCTTTGGCTTTATTGATGATGGGCTGAGAAAAGACTGGAGAGCAGGAACAGAGTGTTGAGTGAGGCATAATAACATAACATACAGGTGAAACTGGAAACACTGGAATATGGTGCCAAGTCCATTTATCTCAGGTCAAGTTCACAGCCGAGTTTATTTATGGAGCACGTTTATTGTTGCTCCAGCAGTCCCAAAGTACTGCGCAAGAAGAAGAGGTATTAAAGCCACAATCAATAAAAATGATAAGTGGAATTTTGTAAGCAGTCCAATGTGGAAACAATAAAGTCAAATAGAAGAGGTGAATGAATTTGAAGCTATCAAAACAGTGAAAGAGTAACGCTATATTTATGAAAAACAGAACCTGACACAACAAGTGAGTGGACTCTACTGGGTTTCCTTAAGGAACATGTTTAAATACTTGGAAGAACGTCTGTGCACGATAAGTAGGTTCAACTGGAGTGATTACTGTGTAAAGTGTCATGTGATGACTCTTGCTGTGATTTGGGGCTATATGAATAAACTGAAATTAATTGAATAGGGAGCCTAAGTCATTTCTGCATCACCGGTCCCTGGAAGAACGAAAAAAAAAGAATGTTAGTCAACGGGGCTGAAAACACCATTTTCTAACCCGCTTTGCCTTACGCCCTTTACCACACATGTGTTGTACTGCAATTTAAATGAAAAGTAATGATGGGTGTTTGGACCATGCCAGTCACGTACTTTGAGATTTATCAGCTTGTAAAAGTTCATAATTAGCATGACTACAAACTAGAAAGCGGTACGTCGCATATGTGACGTCACCACATAATCTCCTCCCCCCTAGCGTAGCTGCTACTTACCACATGACCAGATTTATGGTGGTTCTTTCCTCCTGTGGGAAGTTTGCTGAACTTACAGCCATTTTCCCTGTTTTCTCTGTGTCTGGTTCGATGACGTCACTTTCGTGAAGCAAATTTGTAGTCCTGGACTTATTTTCACACGAAACCTAAAATAGCCTGTTAGAAAATAAGCGCATTCTTGGTATCAAAATGTCTCTTTAAAATTCACGGAAATCACATGTGAAATCCATGGTACATAAATTGAATTGGAAAATAGCTTTTTTAGCCCCGCTGACTTGCGTTCATTTTTTCATTCTTCTGGGGACCCGTGATGCAGAAGTGACTTAGGCTCCCTATAGGAACCTCGAAAAAATATTAAAAATATCAAAAATAAATTAATTAATCGCCAAGCGGAGCATGTTGGTCACTGGGAAATTGAGTTATACCAATAACACAGATCAGCCAATCTCCAATGTCAGATTCCTGTTGGTCACAGGTGTCTTTTATTGTTGTTGTTTTTTCCACCAAAATAATTTTTTATTGGGTAAAATTTGGGATGAGCCGGATACTCGTTTCAGACGAGAATCCGGTACGGATAAAGCATTTTTGACGAGTATGAGCATGAAACGAGAAAAACTCGTAAATATCTGTAATCGTGCTGAAAGAAAATCCTCATTGGGTAACGGACTGTCTTCACGCTCTGTGATTGGCCAGTCACATAGAGCGCCCGCCCATCCCTACACACAAAACTCTGCAGCCGGGAGCTCAGTCCGTCCAGCCCACACACACACACACACACACACACACACACACACACACACACACACACACACACACACACACACACACACACACACACAACACACAGTAACGGATCTCTCTGTGCTTGCTTCACTGTTGCTCACGTTTCTTCAGTACTCCCTAGGTTTTCTTCAGCTCGACTCTTTTTTGGTTAAACATTTAAAGTTACTTTTTCGTTACGTACGTGTTGCATTTGACGAGACAGAGCTGAAAACAGCTCGTGCTGCGCCGGTCACTGCCTCTGCTCTGGTCTGGTTATTTTCTGTCTCTCTCTCTCTGTATTAATTCATGCACTTAAACATTAATGTTCTGATTTTATTGAAACACTTGTTCTGTAATAGTTTCTTTACTATTGTGAGCAAAAATATTTAATCTCAATTCTGAAGCTGCTCTGTAAATAGTTTGCAAATAAACAATACACATAGCAACTTCTGATAAATACATATCAATTTCAGATTTTAAAAAATGTATTGATGTAAACCACACCCACTTCTGGTTAAGCCACACCCATTTCTGGGTTAGGCCACGCCCACACCGAGTACAGATACAGATCATTTAGACTGTTGAATAGATACAGACACAAATACAGATAGTGGTGTCCTCGCTCATCCCTAGGTAAAATAATTTGTGGATGAGGAACGTATGTGAATGACTGAGACCTTCAATACTGTGATTCCTCAATTCTACCACTAGAGGCTGTTCGTACACATGGTGTGAGATTTTCTAATATTTAGGAACATTCCCACACACAAGTACAAAATGATGAATACCACACAATGTGTGCATTTGTTTTTGCACACGAATTACGCACAGATATGTGCTGTTGGGCAAGCGCCTGTCCTCAGGGTCCAGGAAGCTCGCCTCTCGCTTTCTGGATGGTGCAAGTTATTAACCCAGTCGCCTGCCCAGGTCCCTCAGGATTCACCCAGTCTTCCACATGTCCCAGCTGAAGCACCCACATCACCCTCGAGGCGGCGGGGGGGCTAGTGGTTCCTGTCATGTTCTCCTTCTCATGAAGAACCTCCTGAAGCCAATCTAGCCACTCCTGCCACTAGAACTCTATTAACCACCAGACCATCCACTCACTTCACCCGATGTCCTGTTTGTGTCTCTCGCTAACCCCACAAAGGGACGTGCTTTCCTACTTACCTCACTCAGTCATTGTTTTCACCAAACTATGCCCAGCGTTGGCACACAAGACCAGTCCGAGTTACTGAGCCTGCAGACTTCATGTAAGACTGATTTTTCTCGTTCTGGAACTGCTGTGCGGTCTCCTGCCTCCTTACCAGCTGCGTACCTCAGCTCCCAGATCAGCCACTTCTCGCTTCAGTCAAACAGCATGGAACAGCTGAACTCTCGCTCTAGTCAACTCAGCTGCTAACTAGCCTGACGGTAATGATCTCAAATATGTGAAACATACAAAAAGTAAAAATATGATTTCAAGTAACAGGGTACAGAAATGACACACACCTGATTTCCTTTACATTCATGGAACTAACCACTGGAACAGGTGTGTTCTGGTAGGAAGCGATGATGTTTACCAGCAAGTCTTTTCATCCAGGCTCCTTCGTCAATCCCCAAGTTGTTGTAAATGATCTTCAGTATGTTTCCCAGTAAGGTGTTCATATGTTCAGAGGTGACAGATGTGCAGCAGCTGTCTGCCTTGTCCGGGGTGCTTTCTGGTCCGTGTTCCCACCAGTGGGACATGTAGCTGCACAACATTGGCAACACTACCTGCAGAGAAAACCATTTTAATAAGGAAAATATTTAGCAATGTGTAACTGAGGTTTGGTAACAGTCATAAAACTAACACCTAATATCAGACCAGGCTACAGTGGACACCCCCCCCCATACGTAAATACAGGACATTCACCTCCATCACATGAGGCATCTGTGTATATCTCATGCCAGACTCTGCCAGCTCCATGATCTCCTGTAGAGACTTCTCCAAGTTTGGGACCAAAGGACACACCTCTCCAACGGGCCCCAGAAGCCCTAAAGCAGATCAAAAGCAGTAGCAGATGACCCCAAGAGCAGGAATTAGAGCTCAAGTAAAGAATGTATAAAATATGAAAAGAAAAATCTTTTTTTATTTAGCATTCCAGGATTTGGAGACTGTCTCATACTAACCATCTGTGCTATTCTCCTATTTTTGTAAAAGGACTCAGAACTCAAAGCAGCTTGCTCTGCTGCTTTATGACGCTTGCACATTAGCATCGGCGCGGCCCCAAAAGGTAACGAACAGCGCCAGAATTTGGTTTCACACACAGGACACATTTGCGGTTTCGTGCCGAGGCGACTCTTTTTCTCAGTCCTCCTCCGCAGCGGTCACACTGGGACAGAGGGGACACCACGGAGTGATTGGCAGCCTGAAATTACGTCTACCGCCTCCGATCTGCAGTGTGTGTGTGTGTGTGGCACAAGATTATGAGGACACACACAACAAAATGAACCCAAAAGCAGCACAGCTCATGCCCGCCTTTGTTTACCTTATAATGGAGGACACCGCAGACTTTCCCACGCGTATTAAACTCCGCCCACAGGCTCGGGAATTTCTGCATTCCTGAGAAGTCCCTCGGATTTATATGTGAACTCTACACCGCCCGTTCCAGGCCAAACTCACGCCATCCAGCCCGACCAAAGCCACACCGTGCCGACGCTAATGTGTAAGCCCCGTTTGATTTCTGTAAATTATACCCAGACATCACAGCGGTCTGCTAAACTAGGAAGGAACGCTGCACTACCGCACACGTTTCCACAGTCATGCACACACAAAAGACCCAAACAGCTCTTGTCATGTAATGGATTAATCTTTGTTATTTAGAAATGTTACTGCCACCTAGTGGTAGCTAAGAAAAATATGCTAGGTAAAGGAAGTGACATAAAAGGAAGTAATGGGACATAGGGAGCCATCTTCAGATGGTAGGCCCAATCCCAATACTCGCATTTCAACACGTGCGCCCTTCAATTGTGCGATCCCGAGCAGGGGTGCGAGTGCGTAGGGTGTCTCAATTCTCAAGTGTGGAAGTTGATCATGCCCCATTCGCACCCTTGATCCGCACTTCACCAAAGTCTGCATCGCAGCGGACTTTGGTGACGTGCATTACCCACAATCCTTTGCTGCGGGAGAAATGGCTCAAGTGCCTTTTCTGAAACTATGTATTTTCTAATGAAAGTTGTTGATTTTAGGATGGTTAGTTGGTACTCTGTAGGGATGGGTACCGAATTCGGTACTTTTTAAGGTACCAACCGAATTCCACAGTACCGACCGAGCACCGATTCACGTCATTTCAAACGGTGCCTCGTTTCGGTACCCGTCCTTCATAACGAGAACTTGCCAAGACAGCTGCGCATGCGTAAGAGCGTTATGTCGTCGGTCGCTGCGAGCCAGTTGTAAACAGAGCAGCATGGTAGAAAGAACGCACGCTAACGCTTGGGTCCACTTCACTAAATGTGATGGGTAACTGGGTGATGATGAAACCAGCGACAACGATCTAAGTGAGACATCCTCATCTTAATCTGCTCCGGTAGCTAAATAAAATGTTTAAGATAACGTTAGCTTGATATGTTAGCTTCCGTTTCGCTAATGGTGTGTTCGTTTTCTCCTCGGAACTCCGAATTTCCGACTAGAAGAAAATGAACGCGCTCTAAAATTTGGCTTCACTTTACTAAATGCGACGGGTGATTGGGTGAAGATGAAACCAGTGACAATGATCTAAGTGTGAGGCATCATCGTTTTAATCTGCTCCAGCAGCTAAATAAACTGTTTAAAATAACGTTAGCTTGATATGTTAGCTTCCTATGCCACCATTGTTATCAGCTAATGGTGCGTTCGCTTTCTCCTCGGAAATTCTAACTTCCCAGTAGGAAAAATCAAATGAAAAAGACGGCAAAAGGAATGAAGATACACAGTAAATTTAGTTCACAGTAAAGATGTTTGCTTCAGTTTAATTATCAGCTTATAAAACTACAACGACGATGTTAAAGTACAAACAGTTGTGTGTTATTTATCGTGATATTTATCAAATATTGTTATATATTGAGAAAAATATATATTTAATTATAAAAGAGAATTAAAATATTAAACACTCAAAAGTATTAAAAATTGGTACCGCTAAGTACCAGTATCGATTCCTAGGTACCGGAAATTAGTACTCTGAAACTTTTAGACAAAGCAGCAATAATAATTGTTTGGTTGTTTGTTTGGGTTAGGGTTGTTAATAAAGTTTTTTTTTTAAGTATCACAGCGACCAGAATCCCGGCATGCATTGCGGTTGATAACACAACGCTCCCCGTCTCAATTCAGCAATTATTTGCACACTTGTGTACCACACACTCGAAGCCTTACAGCGCAATTTCTCCAAGTGCACTTTCTCCAAGTGCACACTGCTGAAGACCGCAGGGTGCAGGACGAGTTTTGGGATTGGGCTGTAGTGTGCTCCTTTGCTTCAGGGGAAATCTTGTGACAGTCCTGGTCTTAATGTCCACAATATCTGCTTCATCCACAAGTACTTACACATCTAATATTTATATTGTTAAATTTTGCTACTATTTTCAATTATTGTCACTGCAGAAAGAAGTTTGTATTTTGAACAGATAGCATTTGTAGCTTGTGACTGTTATTCTCTGAAAGTGTCCCTCAGAATCATGACCTTATTTGTTTGTAATTTTGTACGCGAAAAATACTTATTTGGTCATTTATATTCTTATTTTTGTACAGTTTTACAAGATAAAAATACATTGTTTTCTTCAATAAACCCAGCCAAAGACCACAAGCGGCCTGTTTCTTGGGGGATGAAGTGCTGGAATACTAAAAATGTTCAACCAGCTGTAGCAGAAACGACTTTAGTGAGGACAGCAGAATAAAAGGATTGCCGTTCCACGTGGGATTTAAGAAGAGTGAAAGATCGTCTTTCTGCATTACACGTCACCTTGGAGATCAACGGCGCCTCAACACAAGCTTCAAAACAAAACCGACCTGAAGGCTTTCAAGACGATAGTGAATCAGGCTGTTTCGTGCCACCGCAGAACAAAAAGGTCACGCTCTACACGCTCAACGAGCTCCAGCGTAAGCTACGATGCAGCCAGAGCTGCAGCCAAAGCCGAGGCAGAACAACCAGCCTGGCCTTCACTGAAAAGGGCCAACTGAGAGTTGAGAAAGCCAAAATTGACTCTATTAATCAGCAAAGAGAAGCTGAAGCTGCCTTAATGGGAGCTGAGGTGTTGGAGGCAGCTGCTGGAGACATCCGTGAACTCAACAACAAATAATCTGACTTCTTACGTTTGTTAGAGAACGCATCAAAAAGAAGACAGATCCCTACGTCACACAGCATTCACTGCAGCTTTTCCTGCAAGAATACAAACAAGAGAACTTTAAGATTCTACTTTACCTCCTACATTTACTCTCCTCCCAGATTGAAATCAGAATGAACAGCCTCAGCTAATCAACAACAAGACCAGTTTACCTCATAATGATGCTCAGCCACTTCACGCAAACTTTCAACGACAAGAAGATGACTGCCTTCAGCAAGTCAGGTCACCTGACAAGCAATTACGCCCAAGCAGTTCTAATAATACTGATTCATAAACAGATCCTGCAAAGTTTCCCGCCAAAGCTGGTCTCTTCAGGGCTAACAAAGTTTGATGATATACCTGAACATTACGAGGCCTGGAGAGAATCCTTTATCAACACAGTTGTTACATAACCCCCACCCCCCTTCGGCCACTAGATGACCTCAGCGGCCTCAGCAGCTCCCTCCTCGCCTGGCTTCCTCACCCAGCTGTGTGTAATTGTTGATCGCCGCTCTGTTGGTAAAAGGCTCTCCTCAGCAGTCAGTCGAGGAGAAGGTCCAGGGTAGTATAGGCTCTGAAGAGTTTATACTATTCTCTTCTCCTGGTGTGCTTGGCTGATTAAAACTTCGTTATTAGACTCGTTTCGACATTGGTATTTCACTCATTTTTGGATATTTGAAATTAGGATTAGACTTTTGGTAACTCGACTTCGGACCGGCTTTAGACTTGGACTTTGGATCTGCCTGAGCTTTCCTGCTTCTCAGGACTGCTCTTATTATTAGTATTTTTTCAGTCAGTAAATCCCCAACCCCTTCTGGGTTGGCGTTTTCCATTCCCCCTTTGTATATAGCTCCTTTTGTTTCGTGTATATATATTATTATTGATGTTGTAAATACCCTTCTGAGCACCTCTTTGAAATAACTAGCGACACAGCACTTTGTTATCAGTTCACCCACACACCAATTTTATCACTCCCCCAATCTCATCACTCTTAGAGAGCCGGGGGACGTAATAACGTGGGGGCTCGTCTGGGATTTTATTTATTACTATTCTTTCCCGGTATATCCGGTGTGTGTAACAATATTAACACTGTGTTTGTGTCCCTTAGAGTCAGAGCATGGCAACCTTTGACCTGCCTGCGTTTGTGGCGGCTCCTTCTCGCCGGCTGCTGGAGAGTTACCGCAAAGCCGACCTGCAGCAGGTTGCCGCCCACTTCTGTCTGCCTCTTCCAAAACAGCTGACGAAGGATGCCCTCCGCAAGCTGGTGGTGGACTATCTGGAAACCCAGGGAATCCTCCCTTCGCCGTCCATTCCCGGTGTGTCTCCGCCGCCCTCGGATGAGGAAAAGGATCGGCTTGACTTAAAGAGGGAGACCCTTGCCTCAGCTCCGCCCTCTTCAGCTGAATGCTTGCCTCTGGCTTCCGACTCGTCTGGAGCTAGTCCTCCTCATTCCCCACTAACCGGAGCCCGACTGAAGCTGCGACTGGCCCGTCTCAAGATACAGGCTGACGAGAAAACCCACGAGCGGAATCTCCGCCACAAACTCGAGATAAAAAGGATGGACATCGAAGTTCGCCTCTGGGAGCTCAAACTACAACTAAGGACTCTGAACACTACCCCCTCCTCGAGCCACACTCTGGCCGCAGATCACCCAGCGGTCTCGTCTTCACCTCCACATGACTTGCCCTGCCTGAGGCGCCTCGTCTCCACCGGGTGCCTCTTCGCTACCACCCACATTTGGTGTCAGCAAGAGCATCTCCCTCCTTCCCCCTTCTGAGAGACTGAGGTGGACGGCTATTTCCTAGCTTTCGAGCGGATTTTGGTGACTCTTCAGTGGCCTTGTGGGGGTTGGTCGCTGCTTCTGCAGAGCAAGCTCTCAGGTAAGGCTCTTCAGGTTATTTCGGCTCCGTCTCTAACGGACAGTTCCAACTATGAGCGAGTGAAAACAGCAGTACTGAACATGTATGAACTGGTTCCTGAGGCTTATTGCCAGCGCTTTCGCTCAGAGAAACCTAGGCCTCACCAGACCTATGTCAAATATGCAAATGCTAAATCTGTTCTTTTTGAAAAATGGTGTTCTGCTTCAGGGGTAGACTCCTTGGCTGACCTGAAGGAACTAATTATGGTGGAAGAGTTTAAAAGACACGTGCCTGAGAGGCTCGTTTTGTACCTAAATGAGCAAAAGATCTCGTCTCTTTCTTCTGCTGCTCTATTAGCCGACTGGTTCGCTTTAACTCATCGGTCTTGAGGGTCAAAAGCTGACTCCGTTTGAAGTATGAGACCCTCTGCTACATCTCCTGAGTATGAAGTACTTCTTGAATATTTCTATTGTCATAAGAGAAGGTCCAGGGTAGTATAGGCTCTGAAGAGTTTATACTATTCTCTTCTCCTGGTGTGCTTGGCTGATTAAAACTTCGTTATTAGACTCGTTTCGACGTTGGTATTCGACTCATTTTTGGATATTTGAAATTAGGATTAGACTTTTGGTAACTCGACTTCGGACCGACTTTAGACTTGGACTTTGGATCTGCCTGAGCTTTCCTGCTTCTCAGGACTGCTCTTATTATTAGTATTTTTTCAGTCAGTAAATCCCCAACCCCTTCTGGGTTGGCATTTTCCGTTCCCCCCTTTGTATGTAGCTCCTTTTGTTTCGTGTATATATATTATTATTGATGTTGTAAATACCCTTCTGCACACCTTTTTGTAATACAATCCTCTGTTTTAGCGGCACAGCACTTTTTAATCATTTCACCCACACACCAATTTTATCACTCCCCCAATCTGATCACTCCTAGAGAGCCGGGGGACGTAATAATGTGGGGGCTCGTCCGGGATTTTATTTATTACTATTCTTTCCCGGTATATCCGGTGTGTGTAACAATATTAACACTGTGTTTGTGTCCCTTAGAGTCAGAGCATGGCAACCTTTGACCTGCCTGCGTTTGTGGCGGCTCCTTCTCGCCGGCTGCTGGAGAGTTACCGCAAAGCCGACCTGCAGCAGGTTGCCGCCCACTTTAGTCTGCCTCTTCCAAAACAGCTGATGAAGGACGCCCTCCGCAAGCTGGTGGTGGACTATCTGGAAACCCAGGGAATCCTCCCTTCGCCGTCCATTCCCGGTGTTATTATTAGTATTTTTTCAGTCAGTAAATCCCCAACCCCTTCTGGGTTGGCGTTTTACGTTCCCCCCTTTGTATATAGCTCCTTTTGTTTCGTGTATATATATATTATTGATGTTGTACATACCCTTCTGTGCATCTTTGTGTAATAAAATCCTCTGTTTTAGCGACACAGCACTTTGTTATTTAACCCACACACCAACTTTATCACTCCCCCAATCTCATCACTCCTAGAGAGCCGGGGGACGTAATAACGTGGCCCTAGGTCAGGGATCGGCAACCTTTTCCCATCAAAGAGCCATTATTACGGATTCCCACCGGGAGCCGCAGCAGCCGGGCCTGAGCAGGTGCCGCTTTTCACGCGTCACACGTCTCCTTTTACAACTTGTTTTAAATGTTGGGAATACAAATCCAGGCTCTGTCTCGTTGGATTGTTGTAATTAATCTTTGTGCTGAACAAAACTTTACATTAAACAACGCTGAAAAGGAAAGAAAAGGGTCAGATAAATTCATTTGTTCCCCTCGTTTACAGAGATGGAGATAACGACGTAGTGCACGTGGCTCTGGTGTTAATCAGGTTTAATGTTCCTGTTTGCAACAATCTTCACAAGAAGGTAGAACAGGTAAATGGCGGGGTTCACACCGGCCGCATATTTCCAGGATTTGACCGTTTATTTTGATGGAGAAACTTCAAGGCTGCAGATGCGCTGATATTTTTATCGTTACGCACATCGCGGAGGTAGCTACACCAATCAAGAACAGATTCCCATCAGAACATCTGAGCATTATCGGACACTGTGGTGAGCGCAGCTCGCTGTCAGCGTGAGGTGGATGAGCTGAAGAAGTGGTTCGGAGCGTGTCTGTCACCGGCAGCAGCAGAACCAGAGCCATGCGGGGAGGTTCCTCTCACTGAAGCGAGTGTTGTCCAAACCCTGTCTCTCAGAGAGACTCGCCACTTAGAAAATGTTCCTGATGATGAAACTTTGGCTGAACAGCGCTTGTTCCTGCCTCCACTGTGGCGATGCCTCCATGAGCCTGTCTGAGGAAAAGTCCAGAACCTCACATCCTCTTCAGCTCAGAAAGCTCCTATAGAGACATCTGATTACGCACAAGCAGGTGACCTGTCATTTCGGGTCTTTATCATTTTTGTTTAGATTTTAAAAGATGACAATCTTTACATTTAGAATTGACATACAGAAAAAAAAAGTAATGCAGAAAAATAAAATACATTTTAAATGAAATATTCATTCATTATGTTACAAACACAGAGCGCCGTGGGTTGCCGACCCCTACCCAAGGTCTATCAGCGAGTGAAGAAATGGACCTGCTGGGGAAAGAATCTGGTGAACATGCCATCAGAATACCATCTGTAAATGTCAGACACCGTGCTTTTGGACTTAGAACAATTTCTACAAGACTAAATAAAACATCTGGTGCCCCAGAAGTAATAGAACGAGCTCTGTTTTGTAAACTTGAGAGTTTTCCAAAGATCCGTAACAGAGATAGTCAAAAAGTGCAGGAGCTGGCAGACCTGCTCACTGAACTGGATGTTGCTAAACAAGAAGGTTACCTGCCGGGGCTGGGCTACCTTGATCCAGCAGCCAATCGTGGGAAAGCTCCCCTCATATCTCCAAGACAAGTGGCTGTCCCATGCGTGTAAATACAAGACAGATTATTGTGTTGCCTTTCCTCCTTTCTCATATTTTAGGGAGTGCATCTGCAGAGAGGCTGATGAGAGAAACGACCCTAGTTGTAACTTTCCTAATCTCTCCACAAATTCTTACAGGAAAGAAAAATCAAGTCAAATCCAGGAATCCTGGATTCCTGTTTCTGTTCAGAAGACAAACATCTCGCTTCAGAGCCCAAAACAGGAAATCTGGAGAAGTTACGCCCCATGCACCACAAACCACATTCTCTTCAAAAATGCAGAAGTTTTCGAAGAATGCCCTTGGAAGAGAGGAAAAGGTTCTTCAGGGAACACAACATGTGTTTTTGCTGGTGCTCCTCCACTGCTCACTGTGATAAACACGTGTTGTGCTCTGCACCCTGGACCAGCGTCACAAACAGACTGTTCGTTCTTGATGCCTCATCGGAGAACGGCGGGGAGAGGTCTGACGCAGAGCCGCCAAGTCTCACATCCAGATGTACACAGGGGGGAGGGGTTTCGAGGAAACTGAGGTCCAGTGACCAAAGCCTACTGGTTGTGCAGCACCAGGCTAAAGACCAAAGGTGACAGATCATCTGCTGCTGTGGCCCCCAGACTCTGGACCTCTCTCCCCCTGAGACCAGTGGACTCAGTGGTCTCCTTTAAACTCACCTGTTCAGGCTTTTGCATGACCTTCATCATCACCCTCTCCTTATTCTGCTCTTTCCACCATCTCCATCTTTCCCGGGATCCACTCACTACCTCTTTCCCTTTTCTCACATTTTTTATCACAACTTTTAATTTCTCTAATTTTTATGGTATTTTAAAATAATTTTTAATGATTTATTTATTTATTTTGGTTCTTGTGAAACACCTTGTGATTTTTATCTTGTGCGACACAAAAGATCATTTCTTCTTCTTCTTTTTGATACATTCTCCAAGATTTGTGGGACCAATTTGTGCCCAGACCCTTTGAACGCTTAGTTCAGAGTTGAGAGCGTGGATGTTTCTTTGAGTCAAAGCCAACTAAACATGCTTGCTTTATGTTTTTTGTTGGCTAAGAGACGAATATTGTCCAAGTGGAAGGACTCCTATTCACCAACATATGGAACTGGGTTAGGGAGACTGTGGGTCACGTTCATCTGCAGAAGATAAGACATTGTTTGAGGGGCTCAGTGGATGGTTTTCATGCCATATAGTCACCGTGTGTGTCATAGTTTGTGTATTTGATGACAAGTTGATGTGCTTGTGTTTCTTTTCTTTTGAAGAGTCATGAATTATGATTTGGTGTCATGCTGAAACACGTTCACTGTTTGTTTTTGATCTTTACGTGTGATCCAGTACAGCTCAGCTGTTGTGTTTTTGTGGAAAACATGTTTAAAAAGTCTCTGTTTACAGTGAAAGAGGTAGTACCTGTTCTGTCTTTACTCCCCTTGCTGTTGTAGATGGAGAAGCCATTGAACTTGTCAAGGTGGGGCTCTAGGAAGGCAACAGGAAAGGCTGCAGAGAAGGCAGCTAAACACTTTCCTATAGCTGGACGCTGTCTGGAAGATGACAAGAAACATGACAGATCACAATCAAACACAACTACTCGTTTCTTATGATCCTAATCACAGCTAACGCTCAGGTAGTGTTAATGAAGTGGTCTTAACAGGGAAACACACGCATGGGTCACGCCTGCGCTACCATGGTAACCTACCGTTTGTGCACAGTCACAGACTCTACTGGGACTGGGGTTTACTGTAGCCAACATCGGAATAAGAAGTGTGTTTTATTACCAAGTAATAGTAATGGACATTACTAAGAATTTGCTTTGGTGGAATGGTGCAAATATACAAGTGAAGCACGTGAAGAAAGGGATTAAAGAAAGATTAAGAGTGATAAACATAATACACATCAAGTGACTACTGCTGATCTGTATGATTATAACGATTATTTGGTGTTCAGAAGTAACTACAGCAGAGGGGAAGAAGTTGTTGTGGTGGGAGATTCTGGTTCAAATGGGCCTGAAGCTCCTGCCTGAAGGGAGTGGTTAGGGTCCACGACCAGGATGAGAGGGGCAGCTGTGATTGGACCTGCATGCCTCAGAGCCCTGGAGATGTGCAGATTGTGGATTGATGGAAGGCTGTAGCCGATCACCTTTCTGCTGAATGACAGCTCGCTGTAGTCTGTGCTTATCAGCTCAGTGATGGAGGAAGTGTGTGGTATGTATTGGGAAGGTAACTTTTAAAATGTAGAGGGACTATGTTTTGTTTCTAGCCTGGGTACGCCCTATAGCATCCCCCCAGAGGAGCTGGCCCATATGGCTGGGGAGCTGGGGGGGCACAGTCATGGATCTCCCCACCTACTGAATTTCTTGGAGTAAAAACTGGACCTGATTCTGGAGATGGACACTCAGGTCAAGTCCTGCTTCTACCACCTTAGGCAAATTTCTAAATCAGTGATTCCCACCTTCATTACATCCTGGCTAGATGACTCCAACTCCTGCTTGTTTGTCAACAGTAACGCTGCTCTGTCTACATTCCAGCTTGTCCAGACTTCAGCAGCAAGGTTCCTGACTGGAGCTGACAAATTCCAGCACACTGTGGAAGACAGAAGACGGGAGTTGCCAGATTCTGGGGGCGTGGCGACTGGACGCCGGCTGGTGCTTGTCAGGCGTGATGAGGCCAGAGAGGAGAAAAGGGTGGCGGATCTACCAAGGTGTGTGCGTGTGGTCCACCTGTCATTGTGGCACCCGGTTCTGGGGGGTGGGATCGTTCACAGTTGGTTAGGACTGCCGGCGATGAAGACAGCTGAGTAGGTAGGCCGTGTTCCAGCGGTAGGAGGGGACGCTTGATGCCTTCTTTGGGTAGTGAGGGCTGGGAGTAGTTGGGTGCCGAGACCACGCCGACATCTGCCGCCGCAAACTCTGGCAGCCGTGGACTCACCCGCTGTCCTCGCAAGCTGAACCCCGGGGCGTTGGACGGTGTCTGAAGCTCAGACCCCTGGGAGGGGTCGCATCGACTTGGCCCGCTAAGTACCCGCTTGCTTGATTTTACTTATGGCTGCTTTTCTCGTGAAGGAACTCGGCCGTGGTGTTTTACTGCTGGTTGTATTAATAAAGGATATTTTGATAGTTGCTGCCTACTGGCGCTGTTTTTAGGTTCCGACTGGAGGGTAAGATATTCTGCCCGTGCACCCACTGAAACTTATATCACAATACACATTACACCCACTCCTAAACCAGCCAGGCTCCTCTCTGAGCAAGCTCCTCAACTTCTACCATCCTCACCGTGCACTTGGGTGTGCAGCTCAGCTCCTCCTACTCATCCCTAATGCCCGGGTCACACTCTGCAGGTTTTGGCTGTCAGCCAAATCCCCCATCCTGAGCAGAATTGTGACAGAAAACAGGGTGAACATGAGGGTGATTTGCATATCTGTGTTCGTCCAGTGTTTGACCGGCTTTATGAGCCATCTCACGACCAAACTCGGCCTTAAACTTAAACCATTTTCAAGCATGTGAAAACCTCCCATCTGCAATGAGAACACGCCTTTGGGACGCCGCAGCAGCAAGACTCCACCTGTCTGAGCTTCGGTTTCAGTTTAAAATGCACTTCATACACTTGCTTTTGTTTACGTTAATAGCCCGAGTTAAACCAGAGCTTCACTAAAATAATTAAACTAGTGTTTTGGCCATCAGGTGAATAGTTAAAACCGTGATTATGCCATCAGTGAAAGTGTGCGAGGAGATGAGCTCACCAACATAAAAAATCAAACACAAAAACAGGAGATCCCTTTTATGTTGGTGGAAATTTCACACATTCCACCGATAAGGATGGTTCAGTATCAGAGGAAGCTCCGCTCCGTGACGGCGGGTGTGATGACATGTCACGGGGCGGAGCTGCGGAGTAAACAGTTCCACAGAATTCACAGCAAACAGAGACACCTCGTTACCTCTCTGTAGTTTAGTGGATGTTTTATGTATAAAGGAGGATGAGAAGGGGGAATGTCCAGCAGACAGACCAGTCGGAGGACAGGAAAGGGACACCCGCAGCCAGAGTCTGAGGCCAAAGCGAGGGTTTTGAATAACGATCCTTCCTCTTTGAGGAAGATGACTTGGGTCATGAGCTGGCACTAAAAGAAGTGTGAATGGTGGCACTTGAGTTTATCTTTTTAGCTTTGCTTTGGTTAGCGCTCTGCCTAGCGACGTACGCTTTTGGGAGCTGCGCTCATGACGTAGCATGTACTGCTGGAGCGACACATCATGCGGTCTGCCTCACTGAAATCTTGCGTCGCACAACGTGCCACCGTTCTGGAGTTCTCACAGTGGGACACGAACAATCCTGGGCCATACCGGCATGAGACCCACGGAGAAAGGGCTTTTTCAATCTGTGCCCCAAATCTCTGGAACTCGCTACCTCTCCAAGTAAGGCAAGTGGCCTCTACTGCCGTTTTTAAATCATGACTAAAAACACACTGATCCTCCATGACCTTCAACTCCTAAACCATAAAACGTGAACTCATTCTTTGCCACCCTTTCCACCTGAGGTGTTCAATTTTAAATCTGCGGATTACTATCTTGTGGTTCCATCAAATTTTTTTTTGGGCCACCAGATCAGTGTTTGCTCATTTAACAAGTTAATCTATCAGTATACTCACACATGAAAAAATTAACTCAAAGGTTTTAACATAAATGTGTAAAAAACATTTCCACTTCACGCTGAGAGTTAACCTCTGAGTATCTGAGCGAAGGTAAACGTGTCAAATTCTGATTGGCCAAATGTATACACAAAAGTTGATAAATACAGGATTCACTTCCTGATCTGGTTAGTTCTCCCGCTGCCTCCTGGCTCGACCGACCGGTGAGCAAGCATCTGGAACCATCCTCTCTTTTGACCCCAAGGTCAAAGCCTCTCTGCAACGCTTGCGAGTGATATCAGACAACGGCTCTTTTAAGAGTCATTGAACAGCCTTAGATACAAAATAGACATTCCAGCTTCCTGACATCCCCTGAAGATAACCCAGGCTAGAAGGGTCTTACTCTGAGCTGCCTACGAGCTCCGGTACCAGAGGACCACGCCATCTGCAGTATCTATCTTGACCTCTTGACCCTCTGGATCGCTTGGGGATCTTCACATAAGGGTGCGTAGACCCGGCACAAATTGCGTTGGATGGTTTTATAAAAATTTTTTAGCTTCAAACCGTACAGCCAAACGGATTTTACCACCCAGACTTCACAAGCTCTCTCAGATACTGACAAGGTTTTGCTAAAACATCTAGTTCACATTCCATCATTCCTTTCATCATCTGTTGTCTCCCGTACAACCATCATTCCATCCATACTTGGCAAGTATTTTTATTTAGCTTCACTAAGACAGACAGTAAAGTTAATCTCTCAATAAATAGAATATTTACTAAGAAATGTAATCATAGAATTAATACTTGGTATATATGTTATGTAGAGGTGTGTGTGTGTGTGTGTGTGTGTGTGTGTGTGTGTGTGTGTGTGCGTGCGTGCGTGCGTGCGTGCGTGTGTGTGTGTGTGTGTGTGTGTGTGTGTGTGTGTGTGTGCGTGTGTGTGTGTGCGTGCTCTGTCTTCCCAATCCCCAGTGAGTCGTGGAGGATGGCTGCTTATACTGAGCCAGGATCCTCTGGAGGTTTCTTCCTGTTAAAAGGGAGTTTTCCTCTCCACTGTCGCTGCATGCTTGCTTAGTATGAGGATTGCTGTAAAGACTCCGACACTAGTCAGTGACTCGATGCGACCTGCTGGGTTCCTTAGGGAGGAAACTTTTTACTGATTGGCTTAATGACCTGACCTGTACTGGAGTGTTTACTGTGTGAAGGTCCTTGAGACGACTCTGGTCGTGATTTGGTGCTTTATAAATAAACTTGAATTGAATTAGTTTAGGAAAAGAGAATTTAAATTAATTTTATAAACTATTTTCTTGACTGTCTGGATTAATGTGAAGTGTGTGTGAGGTAACAAAAGTCTTCTGATCAAATATTCAAAGACCAGTCAGATTGATATTACATATTTATAGGGAATATCACATCTCATTGATCATTTTATATATATGTAGTCAATCCTTAACGCTGAGGAAGATCTGTCAGGCCTTTCTAATACTAGAGTTTCAGCTGCTGCAGGACATAGGTGTAGAGACATTTTATGTTCAGCCTGCATGTAACAGAGATTATAATCCATTATAATCAGAAATAATGATTAAATATGTTTTTATTAGTGAAACACATCTTTATGTTAATGTATATATGAATACACTGCCTGGCCCAAAAAAAAGTTGCAACAAAAAAAAGGTCAAACAATTTAATTGGACCACCTTTAGCTTTGATTACACACACATTCTCTGTGGCGTTGTTTCCATAAGCTTCTGCAACGTCACCAGATTAATCTCCATCCAGCGTTGCATTAATGTTCACTAAGATCTTGCACTGATGGTGGTGGTGTCTGACCGCTGCACAAAGCCTTCTCCAGCACATCCCAAACATTCTCAATGGGGTTCAGGTCTGAACTCTGTGGTGTCTAATCCATGTGTGAAAATAATGTCTCATGCTTCCTGAACCTCTTTCACTATTAACCTAGATGAATCCTGGCATTGTCACCTTGGAATATGACCGTGCCATCAGGGAAGATGGAATAACCCGGTCATTAAGGGATATTCAGGTAGTCAGCTGACCTCATTTTTGGAGCACATCCTGTTGCTGAACCTAGACCTGACCACCTGCAAGCCCAGATCATAGCTCTGCCCCCACAGGCTTGTACAGTAGGCACTAGGCATGATGGGTGCATCACTTCATCTTCTTACCCTGATGCACCATCACTCTGGAACAGGGTCCATCTGGACTCATCAGACCAGGTTTTTATAATGCGTTGGACAGTTCACCTGATTTGTCTTTCCACGTGGTTGTTTAAGAAATGAGAAGCAACTCGTCACACCAGTTGGGATTAAATAACTTGTTGCAGCTAAAAGATAATGGGCTCGACACACGGGAGGCGACATCGCCTCTCCTCCATTCATTTTCAATGAGACGTGCGGCAAAGCGATAATCGCGGGTCTCTCTCCTACCAAGTGAAACGCGAAAAACGTGCGTGTGAAATTTTGCGCTCGTGCACGTGCCATGCACAGGTGACCCAGCGACACGATCCCAGAAAATTGAAACATTTTCAACTTTCATCGCCGTCGCTCAGACGAGGACCAATCAACAGAGGTTTCATTCACTGACCAATGAGCGGACAGGATGCTCCGTACACCTCCGAGCAAACATGGAGGAGAAGTTGATTATTATTATGTTTTATAGTAAAATCAGAAGTAAGATTTCACATAACTCTAGCAGCACCTTGTGAAACATCACATCTACCGCTTTATTAACTCTGAACCACTTAAATAACCTTAATTCCCTCCAACCTGACACAGCCAAACAAAACAACGGAAGTTTCGATTTCACCATGGAACAGAACGTGTAGACGGCTTTGCCGCTGGCCGCTGCCGCGGATCGCCACCCGTGTGTCAGGTAATAAAAGCGACAGCGACGAATTTCGCTGATCGCGGTCGTTTGTCGCCTCCCGTGTGTCGAGCTCCAAATGCAGTAATTATCCAATTGGAGGCTCATACCTGTCGGCTTAGGTAAATCCAGGTGGCAACGTTTTTGGGCCAGGCAGTGTACTTGAGCTTGCATGGATAATTTTGACTCTGGTTTTGACACAAGACCTTGGGCAGTGGTTGGCACTAAATGCACCATGAATTAATTATTACCATTGCTTCTTGGTAAACATTGGTATTGTTATATGTCTGTTATGTGGCTCTGTGATATATTTGTTCTGTTGTAGTTTTGTGTCTTTTTCAAGATTGTGTGTCTTGTACTTAATTTGGTAAACTTTTTTTCTTTTCTTATTCCTCCTTTTTCTTTTGTTTGCCTCAGTGTCTTTGGGATTAAAATGAACCAAAAGCAATTCTAATCAAGTTTTTAGATCAGGCGGAGCATTATAGCTAAATCTGTAACACTCCACCTGCAATAGAATAGAATAGAATAGAATAGAATAGAATAGAATAGAATACATATGTGTTGCTTAATCACCTTTCAACATAAATGCTTTTGTTGGTTCCCAGAAAGTAGAGGCTGTTCAGGATTCTGTAGCAGGAAATCTGGACATCATCCACTGGAACCAAACAGACGAGTGCATTAGAAATCCAATGTTGCTCACCAGAAACAAAAAAAAAAACTAATAATAATTTTATCACTTACAAATAAGATCTTCTCCAAATAAGTTCTGTCCAATGTGCTCAAACAGGGAGGAGAGCACCGGCAGCAGGGCGACGGTGGTGTAGTTGATGATCTGAGTGATGCCTCGCAGCTGCTCTCTGCTGTGAGTAAACTGACCCAGCTTTAGGTTTTCTTGGGTCTTCTCTAGATCCTCTGCCACACTGTCAAAGTATGAACGCAACGCCACCTTTACTGCCTCCAGACCCGTCTTCATCACTGTCCTGGTGGGAAATGTAATGGATACATTTGATTAATGTCTTTAACTGGATTCATGATTAAATCACTGACACCGTGGGTTCTGTGATTTGTTAATCCTCGGAACAACAGCCCAGTTCTGGTTGGCACTAGGATGCACCGATACGATACTGGTATTGGTATCGGTGCCGATACCAATACCAGTGTCGTATCGGTGCTAAGTTAACTGATACCAGGAACCGATACCAATGCATTTGCTTGAAAATGGCTTCACTGTAACTTGTCATTTCTGTTCGCCTAATATTTTAGTTTTGTGATGATTTCCATTCATACATTTTACTTTTTATCTACCTCACTGTCTTTTCCTGTTGAAAGCAGAGAAGAAAATAAAATCTGTATTCCAAATCATTGCATTTTTTGTGTGGTAGAAGTATCGGTATTGATAATCTGTATCGGTGAGTACTCAGATTCAAGTATCGGTATCGTGTCGGTTTGGAAAAAAGTGGTATCGTTGCATCCCTAGTTGGCACAGGTGTGTGAACCATTGAACCATATGGGTCATAGACTAGCCCGGCCCAAAATTAAGAATGTTGATGCAATCTGAAAAAAGTCATTCTGTTCTGGAGTCCAGCATATGGGACTGCAGCAGATCCGGTGCCGTCTAATGACTGTAATCCCAGATTTTTTTTAATTCTATTTTTGAATGTTGTTTCTGCATCATAGCTGTTATTTAATTTGTTATTTATTGGGAGTTTTGGGAGTTCAACGCTGGGCATCCTGATCAAAGCTCCGTGAACGGCTCTCGTGTCCCAGAAGACCAATTTTCTACAATTCCCAAGGCTGATAATGTGTGTGGGTTATAATAATTCAAAAACCTTCTTTTATTCACTTTTGTTCACAACACCATCAACTCTACACATGTTTGAAACACTATCCTAAGTGTCATCCAGAAAACAACTCTAGAGAGATGCAGGGTACCTGGCATCCAGACTTTGTCCTAATATCTGCAGACAGTTGACGATGGATGTCGCATTGTTACCTGGAGAGCCAAGAGTGAGACATGAGCTACAGAAAATGTGTGATTGCTCAGCTGCATGTCACATGGTCGTTTTTAGGATCAGAGGTTCAGGGGTGCTGAGCACCCGGAGAGCTGCGGGGCGAGGGATGACAACATTTGGGAAAGGAAAGCATCACACTTACTTTCTCACATTGAATAAAGGTTATGCAATCACAAGATAACATAGTCTTGGTTTGAAGAATCTATGTGTTGTCATTAAATAATAAGATTAGATTAAAGCTGCTCAAACAGGGGAGGATTTGGTTGGAATTGCCATAAAGAAGTGCTTCAGCACCCCCAGAAATGGGCTAGAAATGCCACTGGCATGTCACAAAACCCATTTTCAGTATACACTCATTTGCCACTTTTTGGGTACACCTTTATGGTGCCAGGTTGAACCCCCTTTTGCCTTCAGAACTGCCTTAATCCTTTGTGGCATAGATTCAACATGGTACAGGAAACATTGCTCAGAGATTGTGGTCCATATTGACGTGATAGCGTCATGCCTCTCGTTCCCCCACATCCCAAAGGTGTTCTACTGGATTGAGATCTGGTTACTGTGGAGGCCATCTGAGTACAGTGAACTCATTTGGGCCATTCCCATCTGTACCGGGTCGGCCCGGGCCGGGTAGCGTAGGTTGTTTACATATCTGGGTGGCCTGGTATTTTTCCGGGCCAACCAAGGCTCATTCTCAGCCCTCTTCTCGAGGGGGTCTGCTTCAGGCCGACCAGGGCCAACACACCCACTGCTGACAGCAAATTCACACCTTCCATTAGAGCAAGCCTCTGATTGGTGGGTAGAATCAGCCCACATGGGCTTAAGGCAAGGATGTGTGGAATCAACCGGGCCAGGCTGGGGCCGACTGGGGCTACCCGGCCCGGGCCGACCCGGTACAGATGGGAATGGCCCAATTGTCATGTTCAAGAAACCTGCCTGGGATGATTCAAGCTTTATGACATGGTGTGTTATCCTGCTGGGATAATCCATCAGAAGATGGGAACACTGTGGTCATAAAGACATGGACATGGTCAACAACGACACTCAGGTAGGCTGTGGCATTGCAACCATGATCAGTTAGTACTAACTGGCCCAAAGTGTGCCAAGAAAATGTCCCCCACACCATTACACCACCTCCACCAGCCTGAATTGTTCATACAAGGAGGATGGATCCATGCTTTCATGTTGTTGACACCAAACTTGGACCCTGCCATCTGAATGTCACAGCAGAAATCGAGACTCATCAGACCTGCCAGCATTTTTCTAATCCTCTATTGTCCAATTTGGGTTAGCCTGTGCGAATTGTGGCGTCCGTTTCCTGTTCTTTGCTGACTTTGAGCCTATCTGCCTCAAGGTTCAACGTGTTGTACGTTCAGAGATGCTGAGTGGTTATTTGAGTTACCGTTGCCTTTCTACCAGCTCAAACCAGTCTGGCCATTCTCCTCTGACCTCTGGCATCACCAAAGCATTTGTGCTTACAGAAATGCTGCTCACTGGATGTTTTCCCTTTTCCGGACCGTTCTCTGTAAACTCTAGAGATGGTTGTGAGTGACAATCCCTGAAGATCAGCAGCTTCTGAAATACTCAGACCAGCCCACCTGGCACTAACAACCACGCCACGTTCAAAGCCACTTAAACCACTTTTCTTCCCCACTCTGAAGCTTGGTTTGAACTGCAGCAGATCACCTTGATCATGTCAACATGCCTAAATGCATTGAGTTGCTGCCATGTGATTGGCTGATTAGTCATTTGCATAAAGGAGCAGGTGGATGGCTATGCCCCAAAAAGTGGCCGATGAGTGTATGTTATGTTGACAAGTGGTAAGATGTTCCCTTTAAAGTCCCCATGATGGATTTTGAGCTCACTGATTTTTCATCAGATTAAATGTATTTATTGTTGGTTAAAAGAGAATGTAAGGTACAGGCCACACGTTCGGACACACCTTCTCCATCAATCTGTTGTCCTTATGTTCATAACCATTTACATTGGGAGATTCTCACTGAAGGCATCAAAACCAGGAATGCGCACATGTGCAGTTATGTACTTGGTGAAAAAACTGAAAACATGTTTTATGTGCTATTTTCTTCAAAAAGGCCACCCTTTGCTCTGATTACTGCTTTGCACACTCTTGGCATGCTCTTGATGAGCTTTAAGACGTAGTCCTTCAAGACTGTTGGAAAACCATCTTGAAGCTCATCACACCAATGGGGGCCTAAGGAGGCCTCCACACCCCCTGCCATTTTGAGGTTTTTGTTCACTTAACCCAATCACATCCCTAATTTATGCTTAAAGTTGTTTTACTTGTACTGCAGGAACATCTTTTGCTGGGGTGAACTGATAGAAGAAAACCCACACGGCACAAACACAAATACAGAAACACGCCACAGCATGCAATACCCAGGAACGTTGAAGGAACCAATCCAGTGGCACCTCATTCATACTGAAATATTTGATTGTATAATAAACGCTACCGACGAAACTTTTCTTTTGTTTGTTTGTTTTGTTTGTTTGAGTTGCACAATCTGAGAAATACCTGAGAAAATGAAAGAAAAGACCAGTGAGCGCTTGGCAAGTACCTGTCACTAGGGTTTTCTACAGTAGCTAAAAATAGATTGTGATGTAACATTGCAAAGCACGCTGGGACACAGGGTCAAAAAAGCAAGCAGGCATTTATTATTGTTTCCTATTGCTCTGATCTCGCTAAAGTTCTTTTGTTGTCTCCTAAAGATATTCAAACAGCAAGGAGCTTGCGTTGCTGCTAGGGGAAGTGCCAGTGGAACTCCAGATAACCAGATTGGATGTCAGCAGGAACTTTTTATCCTTTTTACAAAGCCGGGTAACGCCCGTGACCACGTGAAACAGCTGGAAAAGGAGATGAGCTACCGTAAATCCTCTAATACAGGCCCGGGCCTGTATTTTACTCAAGCTCACCAAGCTCCGGGCCTTTATTGGAAGGAGGACCAGAATTAGAGGCAGGCCGCAATTTCTATTTGAGTTTGGTTGGTTCGCTGGAGTTTTTGACAATTAAAATTGCGCCCACCTTGTCAAAGTTAAACACATTTCTTTTAACAACGGTAGTTTCTGCTTCAGCCCCCCCCCCCCGCCGACATGAATGATCGCGTGTTAAATTAGTTTTTGAGGTGGCGACACCTGATTTGATAATGTTACTGTGGCCGTGCTCAGGACGCAGATGTCTGGAGCGCGTCAACAATCAGAGCTTTGCATGCGCAAGCTGGTTAAGGTTAGGATGGGGGTCAGGGGAAGGTTAAATTGCAAGAGGGTAAAGGTCACAATTTGGTTAAATGTCCGTTTTACGGCGGGTGTCAGTACCGACGCTCTGGCACAGCGCGTTGCCTCCCGACGTGCAGGAGCTTGTCACCTGCTGACAGCAGGCTGCTGTCTTTTCTGTGGACTGCATCTTGTCGGTCATTATCACGTGACAGCGACTAGTCGATGACAGGCATAAAAAGTCACTGTAGTGAAGTCGACTAGTTCATACAACCCCTATTGCTCCCCAGAGTGTTCTGCGGCACACGTTCTCTTTGAACTTGAGATCAAATTTTCACCTCCTCTTCGTCTCCGCACGGTTAAAGTTACCCTCGCGGTCTATCACTGGCAAATCAAAAGTGAGACGGACGACACAACCACCCCCGTACTTGCTTGTTACCACATTCCACCCGACCACAATAAAAAACCGGCCATTATTCACCTCAGGCGACTCCGACACCGGCCAAAATGTGATACCTGGCAGTTAATTGAATACAGGCTTATATTAGAGGATTTACGGTAAGCTAAAGACAGAAAAAGAAAAGGGGTGAGTTTTAACATTTTAACTGCGTAGCGTGGGAAAGGCCTTAATGTCAGAGGTCACCTGACATTGTCCAGACAGCTTGGTCTGCCCAGAATACTGTGTGCTTTCTGATCCAAAACACAAGCTGTTATGACCTCGCCACCAGGAAGAATCGTCATAACAAACATTTTTGGATTTTGGCTTCCAGCCTTTTGAATTTATTTTTTGTTTTTGGTTCATCCTACAAATAAAAGGATTTTTCTTTATATCAACTCCTGCCTCGTGTCATCCTGGGTTCTGCATTTTGGGTCGTAACCTCCTCGTTGCTCGCATCGTGACAGAACTATTCTACCTTAATAAAAAGAATCTTATCTTATTCTGGCTCATACAATGATTTGATAACTTTACAGGTTAATTACATTATATAATAAATGTTTTATCTAAAGTGATTTCAATAAGCATTGACTGCTTTTCAGTACTGAATGAATAAACAAATGATGTGGACATGTAATGTGTGTGCTATGGAGAGAATAGTGGAGTCTTAATCCAGGACAGAGGCAAAATCATTAACCCTTTGTTGGGGGCTTTACGATCGCTAACTAGGCTACACAGCAACCTGGGTACTGGATGTGTGCTCAGTGCATGGACGTAGTTTTGACTGAAGAAGTGGGGGGGACACAACCAGCATGAGGACCGGGGGGATCAAAAAATATGCTTTTCATGCAATGTCAGGAATGCAGAACTGCATGCAGAAAAGTGAGCATGTCCTGTTTACAATGTGGAGTGACAGCAGGAACGGCCAATCACATGTTTTCAAGTATCAGCAGAGCCAATAGATGAGCGTATGCACGGTTCTAATAGGAGACAAGCAGTTGTTTTCCACTTAGTCCTAGTGCTCATCAGTGTCTATTTAATACAGTGTAATTTTTTTTGTACGATAAAAAAAAGCAGGGGACAAAAATTTACTTTGGAAAAAGTTGGGGGGACATGGCCCCCCTGCCCCCACCCCCCAAAAAAACTGCGTCCATGGCTCAGTGTATTACACATAATTACCAAACAATTCCAGTGATCTCGAGAGGTGATAACATCCCACAAAAATGAAAAAAAAAAAATCAATGAAAATGGCAATGCATCCATCAAAATGAACCAGAACATGACTGCTAACCAAGTAGTGACAGGATGCACATTTAAAAAGTTGGTTACTCTGTTCTTACCAAATAAGGATATCCTGTGTCTGACAAGAACTCCAAGTTTGCAAAAAAGACTGAAAAGATTTGATAAAGGGAAACAAAAGAATTGAATCAGTCTGAAAAGGAAGATAAAATGTGACACAATACAGTTGTGGTCAGAAGTGTCATAACAAGTGTGATTCGTCACGTTAAGTTTTTAATCATTGATTTTTTTTTCTTTTAGGACAAAATTATTTTACAACATATTACTTTAATGTTTTTTTATAACCCTCCCACTGTCCTAATGGGTGTGGCAGGGGTGAGGTGGTGCTCACTCCTCAGCCCTGCCACATGGACCTCAAGGGATAAACCATCAATCCTGCCCAATGGTCAACTTTCCTCGTGGGGTCACACCCCTTGGGACAGCTTGAATGTTACTACACCTAAATGTTTGTGTAAGCAGTGCTGAGTGTACATTCATTTAATGTCTGTTAACTTCCTGTTAGTAATCTGGGTGAAGGACTGCTAATAGTTTTACTTTTCGGCATAAAAAATGTATTGGGTTGACCAATATTCAGTGACCATGCTCGGGTAAAGAAAACTAGTTCAGATGTTCAGGAACAACCGTGGAACCATGGAGGCTCAATCCCACCATGAAGTGGAACCTGCTGGAACACCAGTGTCCACTTTGAAACCTGTCTGGCATTTACATGGACTGAGAGGCTCCTGATCCAAAAGAGACAGGAGTCTGTCTGGAGGAGCCAAGGGGAGGCCTTCCCACCTAAGTACACAGAACCAGCTGTCAGTCGTGGAGGTGGCAGCATCATGATGTGGGTCTGGTGCACAGAGCGTATGAAGGAGGAGGATGACTATCCAGGTTTTTCCAACTTTACCTGAACACATTTTCTAGATCAGTGATTCCCAACCTAGTGGTCCGTGAGTGCATTACAGAGGTTACACAGAACCATTAATATTTCATTTCCCAGATGATGGGTATCATTCATTCCTCCGCAGGCACTGTGCCCTGGTAAAACCAGACATTGGGCTGGGATGTGTTATTCTTAACGAATACCCGGATGTAGTAATATACAGTTGTGATGTAAATGTAGGCCAACCGTGACTGTGAATGAATGTGATCAACCCGCGTTAGCATGGGAGGAAAGCAGCTGCTGCTGCAGCGTGGATTAAAAGGTATTTGTAAAGGAAACAGGGAAACGCCGACTATGCTGACCTGGTATGGGTTTCAGGAGGTTGATGGTGAGCAGAAAAACCTCACCAGTAAAATATTCTGGGTAAGACGTATCTGCGTTAATAGCTCATCAACACGAATTCCCTTAAATCCTGTTTGTTTTTACCACACGATGAACACACACAAATTTCCCTTCGCTGTTTTAGAATTTCCCCCATTTATTGAGCTACAAGTCTGCAGCTCCTCTCTCGCCCTTGCTCACGCCTCAGTCAGAGCTGATCTGCTGATCAGAGCAACAACACGACAACATGAAGGAAGAACAGAGCAAGGATGTGCAGCTGCATGATTCTCTGTCACTGAGAGAGAGCGTGAAGCATTAGCAGCCCGTCCACAGGTGGAGCGGGGGCGCTGCCCCACCAGTCTCTCAGGCAGGGGAAGAAGAAGAACGTAGGAATCACAGCAAGTATACACCTTGAAAATTAAACACAATGATCCACTCATCATACAGACTATAAACACCATGCATAATCTGCATTTAGGTTTAGTTTAAAAGTTTTACCACAATCAAAAGGTCGTGTGGCATGTTTGCTGTCCCTTGGGGTGCAACAATCATTACCATAGACCTACGCTGGCGCATGGGCCGGATCCCCCTCTAACACAAAGAATAGGAGCCTTCAGGCGCAGAAGTTTGTGCCTGAAGCACACACACAGAAGACCGGCGTCTCAGCTCAGATCAGGACATTCAACCAGTAACTCAGGTATTTTACTTCATCACAAACCTGGACAACGCTGTCAGATAAGAAGAAATCTGGATAAGTGAGTTTAGAGTCCCCTTTACTCCTCACAATCATCATGGCACATTTAGTTGCATTGTAGTTGATATCAAAGTCCAAACCGCATTGCAAACAAAGTCGTAGCAGTCGTTGTAGGCCAGCACTACATGGACAGAAGATTACCAGATCATCTGTATACATTAGATCAGGGGTGTCAAACTCAAACTCACACGGGGCCGAGATGAAACTCTGGGACGGAGTCGAGGGCCAAACTTAATATTTTTTGAAAAAGTGACGGCAAATTTGCACATTTTCTTTATCAACATTTATGCAGTTTTGAACCTTTAAATTTGGAAACAAACATATTTCTGCATTAACACTGAATGTGGAATAACCAAATTACACACGAGCAAGTCAGTTTTCAATAAAAGGCATCAGTGGTATTCATTACTTGTGGTATAATCAGCATTTTATAAATCTTTTAAATCTCTTCTCACGGGCCAACAACAAAATAAAAATATCATTTTATCTTAAATGAAAATGCAACATCTCACCTGTTAACTTTCATGTTTTGGAGCAGAAAAAGAGCATCAAACCAACATATTTAAAGCTCAGTTTGCTCCACTGGTTTACTGTGATGCTCACCTGTTCCAGCCAGATACCTGCATCATGGGGTTGATCTGAGCTGAGGAGGAGACTCCTGTTGTTTTGTTCATCTTCATCATAATAATGACAACATTAGATGACAACAGGTGCTCACATAGGTTTGTGCTGATGAACATGTCTGAGCAGCTTGACCACGTTGTTGTGTGTCGGGGAGGAAAAATAAAAACTACAGCAGCCACAGAGCCGTACTGGTTTGAGCGTGTCGCTGCTCGCTGGAGTTATATCAGCTCTGTCTGGACGTTAGTTGGAAAACTTTCTGTTTGAGTCGTGAACACATTACTGAGCGGCTAGAATCTCAGTTTCTGGGCTTCAACGTCAGAAAACAGCTGAGTGAACTCGGCGCTGAGTGAGAGGAGTGTTTAGTTTGTCAGAGACAGCGGAGCTGCAGACACCGGCAGCAGACGCTGGAAAAAACACAAAGGAGGGGGCGCGTCGGCTCCGCGCTGACGCCGCAAAGCATCATGGGAGTTGGAGTCTGCGGTAAAATCGGCCAGCGGGCCAGTTTTAATATATTTTTGATATTTATCTCGCGTCGCACATAGAAATGCTCCGCGGGCCGCATCTGGCCCACGGGCCTTGAGTCTGACATGTGTGCATTAGATGATTCTAAACTAAATTTCCAACCCAACAGCCAGTCCCTCAGTCGTTCAGGGTCCTAGAAAAGTCGTCTATAAAGAGAAGGAGACACAACGCTGCCTTGTTGTATCCCATTACGGACAGTAAAGCGTATTCGATGGCATGGAGACGCACAGCGCCAGTATCTGTCTTTGCTAGGGCTCTCCAGCAGGCTCACACGGATGGATGGAGTTCAGCCCACTTTTTCAAACATCTGTCCAACGAGACAGACAATGCAAGCTTGTGATTGGTCAGAGCACCGCTTTCATCATTGCGCCCTCAAAAACATGAAGAAAGCAGCAGACATGAAGCAGCTTGAAGACAGTCTAAAAATGTGAACGTTTTATTCACCCGTGACTGGAGGAGTAAAAAGAAAGCATTTTATTCGCGAATGGAAATGATGGGAAACGTGGGTTTAGAGGTGGCGAGCACATGAAGAGGTGGAGGAGAACGAGGGACACATTTTGCCGTGTTAGAAGGTCTCTGAAATACAAAAACACAAAGTAAATGTACTGTTGGACTGGACGCATGACAGGATACCCCAGAACAGCGCTACGCCCTCTGTTGTCCTGGAGGGGAATTGCTTTGTAACACTCCCCAGGAGACGGACAAGTCCAAGAGCGAAACGTGTCAAAGTGTGGAGCTGACACAGAAAGATAGAAGACTCTGCGGTCCCCCACTTAACTACGGAGTGGTAGCTGTACCGATATACTTGGATTCTCACTAGATATGTAGGAATATTCCTATCAAGCAGTTTAAGAAAGGTTTCATGATTAGGTGATTACATGATTAAAGGTTTGCAGGCATCAGTGCATGCTTGCTTAGTATGAGGATTGCTGTAAGGACTCTGACACTAGTCAGTGACTTGATGCAATTTGCTGGGTTCCTTATACAGGGAACCGTCATGGTTCTATATTAATCTGCATGTACTCATCATGTTTTGCTCCTCTGAGCTCGTTGCAGGTGGGTGTGTCAGTCTCAGCTGTGGCTGATTTTCCCGGCAGCAAGGCCAGGGGATTTCAGCGCTGGTTGGTACTCGCGTTGGATAACCTCCAGCCTCGTCCTGTCCCAGTCGGATTGTTCTGAAAACTTCTGTGATTTGGTTACCTGTCCTAAGTTGGATTTCCCTGTCCACAGATTAACCATCTTGGGTTTTAGTCTCGATCCCAGCCTGTCTGAAGTGTGTCTATCTCTGCGTTGCTCACCTCCCCCGGCTGCCCGCTCTCCACCGTCCACCTGCCCTGGATCTTCCTCACTACAACCCACTCGCCTCAGCCTGATCCAGCTCAGACTGGACCTGGCCAGCCTTCCCCCTTCCAGCCTGTCCTCTGTTCACGCACTGTAAGATGACTCCATTTTCCATTGGTCTCCTGGTTCTCACCCCATTTGTTCTTCTGTTTTAGAACCGGACTTTCATACGGTCTCATTTTTGGAACAGTGTCCTTAGTTTCCCTTTATAGTTCCTGTTAATAATCAACGTTTTGTAAAATCGTACCTGTTTTTCCGTGTGTGATTCTTTCATGTGGGTCAGGAACTTCCACCATGACAGAACTTTTGTCTGATTGGCTTAATGAACTGACCTGTATTGGAATGTTTGCTGTGTGAAGGTCCTTGAGACAACTCTTGCCGTGATTTGGCGCTTTACGAATAAACTTGAATTGAATTGAAGCGTGTAAATATGGTTTTATTGTCCCTGCTGCACAGACTCGGTATTTCCTTTAGAGCAAAGATGCTCGTCTGTCCCCAGTTTAGGTGTAAAACCAAACAGATGATCTGATACATGACCTCACCATACAAGAATAGTTTTTGTGTCCCTCAGATGAAACCCCTGGACCAATCCTTCCATTATTGGCTCACATTGGGAAATAAATGAATAAATAAACGTGGTGGTTTACATTACCACCTGCATCTGGGGGTTTTGTCAGCCTTTGTTACATCTGGGTCTGGAAAAAGCCACAAATCACTGCAGTTATGTTGTGTGATGTAATCGTTAGGAACCGTTATAGTGATGATTCACGACTAAAGCACCTAAACTTCTGACCACAACAGTATTTAGATCAGCCAGGCTCAGGGCTGCAGGCTGATTTGTTAGTTGTGACTTTTACTCACCTGGTCACCATCTCCTTCTCCTTGTTGGAGGCGTGACCTCCACTGCTGATGGCATGTATGGCTGTGGACAGGAAGTACAACCTGTGGTTTTTAAAGTACTGGTCCACCAAGGGTAAGACAACCTAGTAATAAACCAAACAGACACAAAGACAACATTTATCAAAATAGTAAAACAACTGACTCATTTCTTTCTCTCCGTTTTCATTCTGGCGGAGCAGCTTTACATATTTGTTCACCGTATCGTGATCTCATCTTTATGGGAGGATGACGGGCTTTGAGGTCAGGACAGGAAAATGGTGAAAGATCTGTATTTATATAGTGCCTTCTAAGGTTTTACAACCCTCCAAGGTGCTTTACGACACAACCAGTCATTCACACACTGGTGGTGATGAGCTACATCTTAGCCACAGCTGCTCTTGGGCTCACTGGCAGAGGCAAGGCAGCACCAGAAAAGAGAGTGACAGCATTCAGGTCAGACCTCTGCAAGCATCTCCCAGTGCAACAAGTGATTTGTCCACTCAGCCACAACGCTTTTGCCCAAAAGCCACGAGCTACTCAAGTGAAGGAAAGCAATCTGGGCATACATTTTACGGGTTTCCTCCCAGACAAAGATGGCTAAAGGTATGAAGAGGACATTTTCAGGGAAAGTTTAAACATCAACATTTTTATTCAGCTACACCTGAAGCAGCTGTGTGTTCCAGATGAATCAGTTCATTAGTCTAATGATGACCACCACATCAGGGTGTATCTGTCCTGATTTTGTGACGGAAACACGAGTGACTGAGTGAAGAAAGTAGAAAAGCAGTGACCTTTCCAAAGAACTTGATCTGCTGCTCGTGAGGAATCTTCTCTCCCTCCAGCCGAGCTCCCACATCTAAAAGGAGTTAAAAAAGTCAGCTCACATAGATTTAGATGTTCACCTGATGATGTGGGGGGAAAATAATCACTCACTGATATTCTACTGCATTTTTATTGGTCTAGGGCCTGGTTTAGACAGGAGATATTTAAATGGTTGGACGGTTTTCTAAACATGAGCGCCCTCACACACACATGGCAACAAAAACTCATGAATATGACAGTTTTGCTCCTACTTTGTGTTGCTGTGTTATCACTCCGCTAAATCTATAAGCACACACACACACACACACCAAATTCACTTGCCCTGTGTAGTGCGCTTCCATCACCTCCCTTTCTGATTCTTTCTGAAACAACAGGCAGCACGTTGGTTCATCCGCACCAAACACACAGCGATAATAGATAGGGATGAGCGAGTACACCACTATCTGTATCTGTATCTGTTCAACCAACTAAATTATCTGTATCTGTATCTGTACTCGGAATGGGCGTGGCATAACCCGGAAGTGGGCGTGGTTTAACAGAAAGTGGGCGTGGTTTACATCAATATATTATTTTAAGTCTGAAATTGATATGGAATGATCAGAAGTTGCTATGTGTATTGTTTTTTTTAACTATTTACAGAGCAGCCTCAGAATTGAGATTAAATATTTTTGATCACAATAGTAAAGAAACTATTACAGAACAAGTGTTTCAATAAAATCAGAACATTAATATTTGAGTGCATGGATTAATGCATCTGAACTCATGCAGTAGGAACTAGGAAATATGAAATGCTAGAACCAGACACAACTTTCTATATTTTTATTTTATTTTAATTTGATTAAACTGATTTTTTTTATTAACGTTCTTGGCATTTTGCCCCACACAAAGTTAAACAAAACAATGTTGATTAGTGTGTGTGTGTGTGTGTGTGTGTGTGTGTGTGTGTGTGTGTGTGTGTGTGTGTGTGTGTGTGTGTGTGTGTGTGTGTGTGTGTGAGAGAGAGAGAGAGAGAGAGAGAGAGAGAGAGAGAGAGAGAGAGAGAGATCAAAAAATAAAAAACCCGACCGGAGTGGAGGTAGTGACTAACACAGCACGTCAGCTCTGTCTTGTCAAATGCACCATGTAAGTTACGAAAAAAGTAACTTTAAATATTCAACCGAAAAAGAGGCGAGCTGAAGAAAACCTAGGGGAAAACTGAAGAAACGTGAGAGAGTGAAGCAATCACAGCAAGATCCGTTACTGTCTGTGTGTGTGCGTGGATGAGCCGGACTGCGCTCCCGGCCGGCTGCAGTTTTGTGTGTAGGGAGGGGCGGGCGCTCTTTGTGACTGGCCAATCACAAAGCGTGAAGACAGTCAGTTACCCAATGAGGATTTTCCTTCAGCACGATTACAGATATTGACTCGTGTCATGCTCGTATTCGTCAAAAATGCGTTATCCGTACCGGATACTCATCTGAAACGAGTATCCGGCTCATCCCTAATAATAGGCCAAGACAATCTAACATGTTGAATATGCTAAATCCTTTCATGGCTCTGTTCTTGGCTCTGCTGTGGTCTGTTGGGGTGCAGGCAGCTCTGACTAAGACAGGAAGAGCTGTATGAAAGGAGGATGGTGGGGAAGATGGCCTCCATCTTGGAAAACCCCTCCCACCCACTGCATTCCACTGTGGAGACCATGGACAGCTCCTTCAGAGGCAGACTGAGACATCCCAGATGCTGCCGTAGGTCATTCATCCCCTCTGCAGTAAGAGTGTGTAACTCCTCAGCTTAACTGGTACTGGCATCATCCCGCTACACGTCACCATCTGAGCTCTATTCAGCATGTGTGATATACCAGGATGCACATTTGTATGTGTGAGCCTTTATGCTGTTTCTTTGTGGAAAGTCATGTGGTATCTGCAAAACAACTGTGTCTGTATGTAAAAGAATATAAAACCATTGTACTATCTGCAGCTTGAATAGAAAGTGTCATCCTATTTCATTTGGAGCCCCAAAGAGGAAATCCTTCATGAGAGGCTGTGGAGACAGCCGAAACTGTTGAAGTCGTAAATTATAGGGTGACTGGTGGAGACTCCGTTCTCCTACAACAGCATGTTGCTATTATAAGCAGGCGTAGGAATGTGCCTTCACCAAATTAGGAGTTGTTAGGGATGCTGTGGTAGAGTTATAAGCAGCGGACAGCTGCTAGAAGAACAGAACCAATTTTGGGCTGCACGGTTCTCCACCGGTGCTCCGATGCTTGAACTTTAACACGGACTGGATTGCTATGAACCAGTTACCTTTTTCAATTGAAGCTTTGTCATCATTGTGTTATATCACTCCAAGGTACAGGACCAGCTTAGCATGAAAATGAACCACATTTCATTTCTATTTTCTACTTTTTACTCAGTTTTGATTCATTTTTGAGTGCTGAAGGTTCCTGTAACGGGCTACTTTACATGTATTATTTTTTGTGTATGTGCCGCCTTAACCGTGGGATCAATAAAATCTGCGTCCTGACCAATCACAAGCTTGCGGTCTCCGTTACTTTCGACGGATGTTTAGCATTCTGGGCATGTCTCCGTCACCCCCCGTTAGCCCGTCGAAGAGCCTGTACGACGACGCATAAAGGCGTTGCGTGTGTCCACGCAGACGGAGACGTATAAATCAGGCTTGAGCCACATTTGTTCACCCTAGCTCAAGACAAGCGACATCTGTAACTTTTCTTTATGTGAGCCACTTTCATTTTTGTGTGTTGTTTCCTTTAATCGTTTTTACGTTTTGTTATTTGGCCTGCATGGATTGACTGTTGGAATGAATGGTTGTGTTTGGGTGTGGGAAAATGTTTCGTTGTAAAATATCTAGACCAGATGTCGGTTAACTATGCAAACCTCGCTGTTTTGTGGTTTAACTTCCATTCTGGTTTAAAGAGCAAATAGCAGGTTAGAGACACCCATGAACCAATGTTTAGAGAAACATAATAGAAACTCGTTTTTTACACAAACATTAATTATTCTTGTGAGAATGTTTTTTTTTTTTTTTTGCCAAACCAAGTGACGTCAGCTGCTGGAGTCCTGTTAGCTTAATCCAGAGAAAATATGGACTCTAATGTGGCTCTGACACAGAGAAAACTTTAAATGTTAATTATTCTACTTCTGATGGACCAAAACCATCAAGTTATGAGTTTGCTGCACGTCCCAGAGAGTAGAGACCAACCAGAGGGAGAAACCATCGACCAAAGCAGAGAGATAGAGGAGAAGCAGCGGGGGAGCAGCAGGTGAGTTAACCATGCTAGCTTAAACTCGTGTGCTAGCATCACAATATGGTACAGATTACTATCATGTACCAGACTGTTAAAGTAGTATCAGTCAGTTAATATCATATTAATACTAATGAGCGTCTGTCAGCGGTCTCATACTCTTTAATATCCGTTCACCTAACGCAGTTTAGCTTAGAGAGAGGGAGAGCGCCGACTGTCATCCGGTTCTGGAGCTCATGCAGGCTTCTGTGAGCTGGATCCGACCCAGACACCAGCGAGCCAGTCGTGATGGAACTTTTAAAAGCCGTGCATCCTATGCTGGTGGTCCAGGCGGTGGTTCTGATTTGGTTCCGACCCAAACACCAGCTGGCCCGCTGAGCCGCATGCCTCTTCTGGTGGTCGGTTCTGACGGTGATCTGAGCTCCAGAAATCCACATTTAATTTTTTAAACCCCTCCACAAATCTCCGGACCCCAGCGCGGACCTCCCTGACCCGGTACCGACCGATGTGGGCTACAGAAGTCTGTCTTTGCAGCTGCACAAAAACGCCCTCAGGCACGGATATAGAGGCGTTGTTTCTCTGATCTGGAAACCCGTGGACTCGATGTCCAGACAGGCTGGAGGTGGAGCAGCCTTCACACACACTAGTTTATCAACATGAACACAACCCAACACTAGTAAACACACACACTGACTGGGTCACATGACCTCTAAACCCTAAAACTACCCACTCCACACTGAGCTGAGGCTGCTAAGCTTCTAACTCCCTTTGGTTACGTCAGAGGTTCACATTTAGAAACAAGAGAAAGGAACTTTTACTAGAAAACTCTGCTGTTATGGATTTTAAAACCAAATATCCACAATAAGATTTTCAAATGGTATTTTTTGGACAAAATTTTATATGAATTAGAAAAAAAATTAACCTGCAATTTGCTCTTTAACTTCCTTAAAGCCGGGCGTACTCTGTGCGACTTTTTTTTTGAGCCGATTTTCCACTCGTGCGAGAATCCACGAGATCGGGGCGAGTTTTGCGCCGAGCGGTCGTGTAGTGTACAGGGGGTTACGAGAGGCGATTAACACCACGTGACCAGCTACCGATAAGCAATCGTGAGCTCGCACAGACTTCTGGCGTGTTTGATGTTTTGCTCGTCCCTCGTGAGGGTATCGCACTGTTGAAGCGGCGCTGCGAGCAGCTGCGACCCAATAAGCATCGGAACCGCTCACGGCGCATGCGCAATCCTGCATCAACGCCGCTCGCCCGCTATTTCCCTAATAACACACGTTGTTCATTTTAATTTCTACACCTTTTTTTACTCTCAAACATTGTCAAGAAAGCGTGTTTGTCGTGTTCATGTCAAATTAAACTGATCACAAAACACAGATTTACTTTCTTTATTTCATTTTCCTCATCCAACCCCCATAAATCCCTGTGTGTCCTCCTGCAGCACTCCCGAAGGACAACAGGCAAAACAAGACAAAAAAGTCTGACGTGTTGTGTAAAAACTGCTATTTTTAGCATATTTTTAGGTCCGACGTGTTGCTACCAGACGTACAGTGTGAGCGCATGACTCTTCAGATCTGCCCTGCGAGGAAGTCGTACAGTTTGAGCTGAAGCTGAGTGCTACGAGTGAAAAAGTCGCACAGTGTCCGCCCGGCTTTACACAGTTAACTCAAGTTAAGGTAGATGGCTTGTCCTGAGTGTAAATGCCTTGTCTATTCTGTGTTTTTCCATTTACTTTTGAATTCTGTTTTGTGAAAGGGACTGTGATTTTATTGTTTTTCTTTCTTTGCCTTCTG